TAAAACACGAACCTGAGAATCGGTCCCTTTTCCCATGTCCTCGTTAACACGTGCCATATAGCCACTTGAATGATTGCTTGCACCATCGTTTTCGCAAGTGGCTTTGATCTTTTGTTGTCCAACACTCTCATTAAGGGGGGCATTTCGGGCTAACTGACAGACAATAAAATTTAGGTTTGTTCAGAAACCATACAACAAAAATTACAAGCTAAACCAAAGAACAGAACAGAAAGTTGAGCAGGCATACAGATTGTCTTCTCCAAACATGCTGCCATAGATTTGTCAGCTCATTCTTCCTAATAGGCTTGACTAGATAGTCAGAAACGCCTCTCGTCATGCATTTGAAAACCGTACTAATTGAATCCTGAGAGGACATCACTGCAAGATCACAAAAGAAGAGCAAATTTGTTAAGCACCACCATTATGAAAAATCAAATCAGTTATTAATCAAAATCCACGTTTATTTGTTCTTCGTATCGTACTTATAACAGGAATATTTTTGCAGATCTCGTGCTCCATGATTAGCGTAAGCAAAGCAAATCCAGATATCGATGGCAGATCGACCTCTGTCAGTATCAGGTCTATGTTATGAGGCCTTGCCTTCAGTATCTCCCAAGCCTTTAAGCCATCAGCTACAGCAGCAACTGCTCAAACAAAAAACAGGAGCCTTCATAAGAACAGTTCAAAACATTCATGCTTAAGCAGAATATATAATCCTTTTCGTCAATAACGAATGAAGGCCAAAGCGAGTGACTTTAACCATTAATTCCTTTGTTCACTGAACTCAAAACAAGTGACAGTAAAAAAAGAAATCATTCTGTTTATGTAACTAGTGCTAAACGCCTTCATCGATATCGTTAAATTATAAAATTTACAGCCTTTTAATTGCTTAACAATTTGGTATGAATGCAAACTTAAAAGATTTAAAGAACACACAATATATAGTTGACCTTACAGACTTTACATCCATTTCTATAACTAGCCTATGTTTCTTTCCATTAAGATAAGCCCAATATAAAAGCTTCAACTTCATGCTAATTCAACAATAATCTTCAATTCCTCATCCAAAATCTTTCCTTTTTTTTTCTCATCCAACAAGGTAATATATTAAAAAGAGAAAAGCAGCAAAGAATCCAACTGACGGGATCATAAAAATTCAAACACCTAAAAATCCACCCAAAAATCGCCAAATAAACAAAAACCCAGTTCATCATTCATCAAGATCCGCCACAAAATCCATCAAAACCGAAACTTTAATTAAATTAAACAAAATCCCAGATCATCATTCAGCAGAATCCGCTATAAATTCCATCAAAACAAAAACTTTAAGCAAATTAAAGCAAACCCCACTAACCTCTGTAGCTACATTTCCTGAGAAGCACAGCTATAATATGCCTGGTGGAGTCATCAGCTTCCACAAGCAACACCCGCATGTTCATCGTCGGCAGCAGCTTCTCCCACCGCATCGTCCCGACGGAAGAGTCGCACTCGCCGCCGTCCTTCTTCTCCGCCTCTGCTCGCAGCCTCGCCTCCACGTCCTCGCTATTGATACCCACCTCGCCCATTTCTCTCTAAATTTCTATTTGCACCCACCGGAGGAAACAGAGCGTCGCAATGTCTCAGTGATGCTTGAGAGTTTGGGAAATTCTCTCAATGTCTTCTCATCCTTTTTAGCTCAATGTTCAGACCTTTTTGTCCGTAAAAATATCTGAAACTTCTAGCCCCAAATCAATCGGACGGCGAAGATGCCGATTCCCAATCAATCTAACGGTGAAAAATATCTCAGCCTACCAGTGGGTAGGAAAATATCTACGGCCCTGTTGCGGTGGGGCCGGTCTGCCACGTCATCAACCCAATCGAAGACAAGTGGCCATAGATTGATCAGAAGGCGCGGCGTCATTGGCTTCGGCATCTGGTGGTCCAAATTAAAAGAAATCTCTTTTTTCCCGGGAGATTTTTTGGGTGAGGACAGCTGGCAGGGCGGGCCCGACGTGGTAGATATTTTTGAGTGCCTGGGGGCGATGAGAAGATTTTTCAATGTGATTGGCATATGAGAGGTGGTGTATCATATGTCATTATATAAATTGGGGAATATGTGTATTAAAAAATTAATAATTTAACAAATAAAATTTCCTACCACTTACATAAAAACACGTGGTGTACCATTCGTATTCCTGTCACAATTAAAAATTTCTCTCGGTGATAGATCGCATGGGTAGGATCAAGCCACGTGGAGTGCTAGTGGAGGGGGTCTGATTTGTGGCCTTGGGAGTTGTCTTGGACTAATGGGGGCATCTTACGTTTTAATTGCGTTTTTCTGTGTACTCTCAATGGGTGTACTCGCCTTCTTATTGGGGAAGGCAAGCGTGTGGTTGTTAGCTTCTAATTGGGTTGGCTTCACTCGATTAGCAGCCTTCGGCCAATGTCAAAAAGTCGCTAGCTGCTAGTCGAGACAAATAAAAACATACCGTCTAGAGGATTAGATGAGGCCTTGGGGATTTTTTTTTTAGTTTAATTAAATATATTATATAATATATAAGTTAAAAAAAAAACTATATAATTATATCAGAAATCATAAATTACAAAATAAAATGATATATAAATTATAAAGTACTATAGATTTATAGTCATGGTTAAGATTTTATAAATTTATAATCATGGTTAAGATTCTATAGATAGAATTTATCTCTGAAACTAGAATTTGAAAAAGAAGGTTGTCAAAAAGCTCTTAAACAGCCCATTATGCTACTTTTTGTCGATATCATATAATTGTGTCCTCAGTAGATAAAACAAGTTCACTTAATATAACATCATCAGTAGGTAAGCAATATCACATGGAGGTTTAGTCGTTACACTAAAAAAAAATTTATTTATATAGACGTTATTTTACACTAAAAAAAAAAAGAAAAAAAAAAAGTCTCGGAATATTATGAATTAGAAATGGAAAAAAAAACCCTAATTACCAGGGTAATTCTCCAGTTACAACATTCAAAACTTTATAGACAACAAGATGGCACACAGAGGTAGGTAGACATGCAGCTAATGACCCGCATTAGTGGTTCTTAATCCTTCATTATAGCGACTAATATTGTTTGTTTAATGGATAAGGATGAAAGAAAGTTGACTCTTCTTATAGGGCCATGCTAGATGGCATCCACTGATTGAGTCCTCACATTCTCAAAAACATTTGTGTGATTGTCGTTTATACTTTTGATGTAAACCAAGTTTTTTATTTTGGTGGAACGATTGTCGTTATTTGCACAAAATATTATCAAACTCCGGTTGGATTTGAGTGTGGTATTTGGTACAAATGATGGACTAATTAGAATCATAAAATAATGGCATATGCTCTAATTATGTCGCAATCTTAAATTATTGGAGTGGATTGTGTCTAACCAATCACTTATGCCTTCACTATACCTCATGATTTTCTAGCAAACCCATTATTTATATATGACCCTCTTATGTTGGGGTGAGCTTTGGTGCAACAAAATATTGCTCTTTTGTAATTGAAAAGTCATAGGTTCTAGGCGTGAAAACAGTCTCTTTGCAAAGCAAGAGTAAGACTATGTACGATAGGCGCTCTTCCCCAACTTTTGAGGAACGGAAAACCTTATTGGCTTAGGGTCACCTCCCTTTTATAGCTTCCTTATCATGTTATCATAGACATAATTCCATCAAGTCCGTGGTTACGTGCTAGCAATACAAGTTGGATAGCATGGGGAGATATTACTCCTACAAACTAACTTATAAGGGGAAGGTGCTTCTGAATATTCCATTATGCTTCCGTATTCAACGTCCTCATTGGTCTACTCTAGCTATTAGCACTGTCACAACAAAAACTCTTTCATTTGTATTAAACATATACGTGGAGAAGAACTTGTATGTCACGAAGACTAATTATCTTGTTCCTTTCTCACTCTCGTAAAGAGTGGAAAACGAGAAAAGAATGTACATTCAGATTACAGGTAAGTTGTTGTTACATGTGGCTCCACTTATTATTGTCATCATGTGCTTCAGAGATATCAAGCTTCCACAAGCAAGCCTTTGAGAACCCCTTCTAAGCTTCATACCAAAATGCTTATTGTACGTTGCGAAGATGGAAATGCTTGTATACTTCTAGAGTAACGGCACCGGTCGGTCGGGATTAATTTTCAAGGTTTCGTGTCTTGTTGGATCTAATTACTTCTACTACAGAAACTTCCACAGGAATGCAGATAATGTATAAATTTTCAAACTCATTCATTCTCTTCCAGAACTATATGTAAACAATCTGATGAAGGTAAACACGCATGTTTCAATATTTGGTTTTCCCTACACTAACAGATCTCATTCTCTTCCACAACTATATGTATGCACAAATGCAGCTTGGATTTGCATCGATCGGGCTAGGTATACACACTGCACACAAATGTACATGATCATGAAAGGAGTAAATAACAATGGATAATAGCCAGTATCTTAATATGTACGACAATTACGTTGTATTGTTACATTAATAGAAAGAGCAAAGCAAAGGAAAGGCTCATAATACCAGCTGGTATGCTTCAAATCAAAGCATGAGCTATCCGCCGCCAATGACCGGTAAAACCAAAGTTTCCACGTACTTTACCACTTGTGCGTTCCGGGCAGGAGTGTCGAGTACAATCCTGCAAATGTCTTGTTCCGGTATATATAATATCAAGTCACCTTTACTCGATTCCATCAAAACTTCATCATCGTCTTCCATAATGGATATAAGCTTCAACCACTTCACTTTTGGAGGGAAAATCTCCGGACGAATTTTCGCCAAAATAGTCCAAGATTGATCGACCCCATATTCCATCATCACCCATATGGTGAAGACGTACTCCAAGTCAGCAGGATGATTTAACTGATCAATGCAGGAAGTGTGAAAGAAGAGACGATCTCCAGTAGTTCCCACTCCCGTCCACATGGAACATCCTTTATGCTTAATATGGGAAAAGAAACGAAATTTCTCCTGTGCGAAATCAAAGGACCTGATTGTTGTTCCAGTATTCGTAGAGTTCATATCAGTCCAATGTAGAGCTCCATTTAAGAAGCACCCTCGCATGTTTATGTCGGAAACCTGGAGGTAGCTTTCACTAACAATCTTCCATGAACCCGTTTTAAGTGCAAAGATTGCAACCAATTTTCTTTCAGCGGGATAATCAAAACCGCCCAAAAGGACCTTGTAGTCTTGAGTGGTGGAATCATAGCCGAATCCATAAAAACTTGGGCTCGAAGGCAAAAAATCGATGTCTGGTAGCTTACGGGCTGTTCTGGTACTAGGGTTCCACAAGAGAAGTCTTTTGTTTTCATACCGTTTTCTGTACGAGTGAGACCAGTCATCACGTGGAGGTTCAAGTAGTAGGCAGATGAGGCCATTGCAAGAACCCACAAGGGTTGAATCCTTGAGACTAGTATCATCTGGAAATTCATCTTCAAGGTCTCTACGTATTGCTGCTGCAGACTCGGAGGCGGAGACGCTGGAGACAACGTTCTTCTTCTTCAGTGATAGGTAGTCTACGATTTGGGGAAATCGAGATGGGGGATCACAAAAGTGACGGGAAAGTCGAAAGGGACGTTCAAAGATGATCAAGATATTCTTATTGTTATCGTTGTAGTTGGTACGTCCTAGGTGCTTGGTGATGAAATCGGAAGTGGAGATTAAGGCACGCCATGACTTGCATACACAACAGAATCGGAGGAGAGATATAACCGGTAGCCATGAAAGTATCTCGACGATTATATCTTCATAGTTGGAGGAGAAGATCAACAATTCTCCACCATCATCCGCCATAGTAGTAGCAAAACGAATGGCTGAATACTTCAAATCTTATTGATCGATCGTTCGGGTTACACTAATATATATATACATATATATATATATATATCCACATATATGCAGTACTATTAGATTAGGAATGTAATCGTATAAATCCTATCATGCTATATCTCTTAGACTATATATTATCCTATTAGAATTGTAATTTTATAGCGGGGTATTCAATTGAGATTTTGAGAGATTTTAATTTTTTTTACAAATTTAGAGGTATTCAATCAGGATTTTAAGTGATTCTCTGAAAGTTTAGGTATTCAATCAAAATTTTAAATGCTAGTTTATAATATTCCATGTGTATTCAATTAAAAATTAATTTTAAAGAATTATAAAAAGTTGAAGAATTCGAGGAAATTTGAGATATTTCGTAATGTATCTTAAGAATTCTAAAATCTCACATCTTTCTTGAAAATTCAAAGGATTTCACTCAAAATTTTACATAGAATCTCAAAAAATTAATTAAATAAATTCTATCAAAATCCATAAATTTATAAATCCATTAAAATCATAAAAATCTCAATTGAATACACATTTGTTATTTGGGCTAGCTACAAGGGCTTCAGTTTCTGAGTAGTCAAGAGGGCGATTGTTTTCAGATCTTTCTTTGTGCAAGGGGAGAAATTTTTAGGTGTGCCGGGAACACCATGTCACGTGGTGTTCCCTCACACATTAGGATTTGACATTTTGAATATACTTCAATTTTTTATTTCAATAAATAAATAAAACTAAATCCTAATGTGTGAAGGAACACCACGTGGCATGGTGTTCCCGGCACACCTAAAAATTTCTCGTGCAAGGGAGGGTCTAGATATAGGGAATTCTTAGAGAACGACATTGGGACGCCGAACTATCAAATCAATGCCGCCAAAGCTGTCGAAGAATGCGATTGTTCTCTCGATTTCTTCAACTGACTCGAGACAATGCCTCGTACAGATTAACCTTGTTGAGAACATCGAATATCTTGTCAACGGGAACGCCGCGGTGAAGAAGCGATCTGACTTTCTGATCCAGAACCCACCAAGAATCTTGCTTCCGCTGTCCCGAAAAGCCGCTTAAGCTGCGACGGCTCAATCTTCCCTCCAAATCGTCGAGCACAAATTGCAGAAACGGACCAATTTCCTCAGCAGTTAACAAACTTGGGGATTTTATAATCAACTGAGAAAGCACGAGGCCGTCGATTCCAGCAGAACGGAATGAATGAATCCGAGAACGCAGTGAACCCAAAGGTATCGAGCCAAAGCTGGATTCTTGTTAAAAAGCACTTGGCTTTCTTCCTCGCCGACCACAATTTCTTCAAGGAACGAGAAGAGCATCCCTGGCACAAGTTATACCGATTAGAATCTTGTAGAGTTGCTTACCTACTTCGGCGACAGCATTGATGGGCACGGAAGGTTGGAAGTGAAGGCGGTGAGAAATGAGCGGTGGCCGGAGAAGGAGGAGGAGGAGCTAGTTAAAATGAAAAGAGAGAATCCGAGGAGGAAGAAGAAGAAGCGGGAAAAGGGTGAGCGAACAAAGCGCACACAGCGGCCATTTTCCTGATAAAAAAAAATGGTTTCTTCTCGGCGTTTAGATGGATGGAGCTTTTGTTTACAGTCGTTTGCGACTTTTGAGCCCAATAGGCTTTCAATAAAGCCAGAAACCAATAACATTATAGGCCGATAGGCCTATGATTATCTAAATTGATTGAATAAATTAAAGAAGAATTGTGAGCAAAAAAATACAGGGCCCTGAGCCGCGTAGAAAGAGAAAAGAGGTGTGCGTAATCATTTCCCATTTCGTATCAGTAGGTTTGCAAAACTTTCATAACTACAAACTCCTTTTGGGGAAAATAGCTTCTATTATGACATTTGTTTCAGGCACCGTGATCATCGGCACCGCCATCTCGAAGCCCTGTGCGTGACCGAACCTCCTCCACTCTTTCGTAGAGGGACATGACATGTTCAACTGAATCTTTGCACTTAAAGAAAGACCGCTGGTACCATCATATTACGTTGTTGCATTGCCGATAGTTAGCTCTTTCTGGTGCAAAACTCTTTTTCCGGTTTCTGGTCAATCAAGCTTTGTATTCTTTTTGGCTGTCCTTGAGACACTTCCTATGAAGCTTTCCTCCTTTTTTTACTATCTGTAGGAAGGCCTTTAACACATATAACAGAGGAGCCACGCTTCTCCAAATTTCTCGGTGTTCGGTTGAAAGGAAACCTGCATGACATTCAACAAGAGAAGAATAAATACCTACATGCAGCAACACAGAATGTTAAAGTCAGATAGTAGTTTCAAGTGCACTTGCCCTTTTCTTATATCTTTGGTTTTATTATCTGGCAGGTATTTGTCGAATTCTTCCCCTCCATCATTAAGATTATCTAGTGTGTCATTTTGCGGCTTCTGTCCCTGAACAACAAACTTACATTTCTTAGTTTCATAATAACATGCACAGAAACTCTACGAATCTACGATTATGGCATCAAATGCAACATATCAGAAAAAAAACGCAGATTAGTTTCTGTCCTGCCGTGATTCATACTTATTTATGTTAAGCAACAACTGCATACTAAATTCAGAATTGGAACATAGAATTCCATAGAATCTAATCAATGATTCATCATAACAGTTGAATCGAAAACGTTTAGGTGGAGCCGGCTATATCCAAAGCATTTAAGGGGTGCGAAAACAGAAAGATTCAGAGACCATGCAAGCTCTCCGAAGAACTTGCAGCATTCTACTTTACATGGCCTTAAAGCAGATATACAAATTATTCACCGTTACAGATGCATCAGTTAGAGTGCTATCCTTTCACCTTCCATACTGATAATTGTCATTAATATAATAACAAAGCTCAATGAGATTAACTGATTAGAACTATAACACAAATGGTAAAAGGTCAGTGTGCTCTAAATGTAACCAAAAGAATACAAAAGCCGGAGAGGTAATCGAGCACAATTCAATGTTAAACTTATCGATTTCAGTTTACCAAATTACTAGAAAAATGCCTAAACCACAAATATGAAACAACCATGACCGAAAGATTAACTAGAAGATATATACAACTCTGTGAATTATGAACCAAGACACATGTAATCACAGTATAAGCATTTGCAGATGAAGAGAAAGCAATGACGATACTAAATCGTTAAATCGAAACAGAAAAACACATGCAATCACAAGCTATAGATAGGAATTAGGAACTATCACAAAATTAACAAATTAATCAAGACAGAATCTTAGTATCTTACTTCATGAGTGGAGTTGAGAGCTATACATTCATCCCCACCAGCTTCAACATCCAAAGCCGAAACCGAAACCTTAGCTTTCTTTTTGTCAATGTCATCACCAACATGTTCCTCATCAACCACTTTCCTCTTATGTCTCCCAAAGCTCCTCCCCTTGACCTTCTTCTCCCTAACTTTCCACACATTCTTCCTCCTAAACACCAACTTATCCGTCTTCCAAACCCCGCAGCTCGTATCGATCACCGTCACTTCGCTTCTCGAATACCCTTTCATCTCCCCCTTATCTTCCTCCTCCTCCTCCTCCTCCTCCTCCCCCTCACATTCCCCACCACCCACATTCCCTCCCCCTTCCTTCGTCTTCTTCTTCTTCTTCTTCTTCTTCCCCACCAAGCTGCTGTTATCGGACGCCAATTTGTCGAAGGCATTTTTGACATTTAGCTCGCAGCCGGAGCTCTTCTCTTCCGCTGCATTTGCAGTGGCGTCGCCATTAGAGTTGGTCGAGGAAGCGACACGGACTCTGGGGTTTGCTTGCTTTCTAGGTATCTTTTTCCCAGAAATTTTAGAGCTTTCGTCGGCGCCGCCCATGAAAAATAGCTCCGAGAGAACATTGCTCATCATCCCGATGATTGCCCCTCTCTGGTCGTCTCGGTTGGGGTACGATGTTTCGTAGCGATTATCGACTCGGTCCGAATCCGGGCGAGTCGAATCTGTGGATGGTGAGACAACATTGGGATTCGGGAATTCCGAGGAAGAGCTTAGGTTTCGGGTAAGGAAGTTGTCGAGGTCGGAACTCTCGCAGGTGGGGAAGCCCTTGTTGGACCGGAGCCGGTTCAGCCAGTTCGACCCGGACTTGGTCGCTGGCACGGAACAGAGCATTGCTGAGGGGGACGGATCTGAAAGGCCAGGTGGGTTGGAGCTCGACGGGCTTTGACTGTCGGGAGTTGCAGCCGGATATGGAGAGAAATAAGGTTTTCTGGGTTCGAATTCTGAAAGCTTGAAACTTGAAACGACCGTGGCGGCAGGTGAAGTTGCTTTTACTTTTACTATCAAACATGAAACACGTGGGGCTTTGTAAGTACTATTTCATATGCCAAAGGTTTCGACTTTAAGTACGATCGTCACTTGATTTGGTCTCACTTCGTTGGATTTGTTGTGGACAAGGTAATTAATTGCATATACTATCGTCTAATGTCATTTTAAACTCGAAATTACGTGGTAAGAGAAATGAAAAAAGTAAATATATTGACGAAATAGTTAAAAAAATTCATATCTTTAAATGTGAGAGATCATCAGTTTAAATTGAAGAGTGGCCAAGACCAAACCAATGAACGGATGACGTGCTTTGTGTATACAATCGGACAATTAAGTGCTTTGGTCATCCGCACTCAAGAAATTATCCTAACTCAACCCTACGTGAGAATACAGAAAGACCAAACCCTTGAAGTTATTTTAAGTGAAAAAAAATGTTGATGCATCAAGTACACTTAATGCACACTCCCAAATGCAGTCTTCGTGTTCCCAACGTAACATTATGCATCTAAGGAAGCTTTTAACAAAAGGAATCCCTATTTTTTTTTTTAAATGAGAACATCCTCTTGACCGTTTGATTTGACTTTAATGAAATTCTGTGGCCTATGATTTAATCTCAACCATAGAATTTCTTTAAAGTCAAACCTAACGGTCAAGAGGAGTATCCTTTATTTTTTTTTTGAAAAATAGGGATCTCTTCCCTTAAAGGGCCTAATGCATCTATATCATATACTTAATTTATAAAGGTTATGAAGACCCCATCAATTAAGGGAATATAACTGCAATATGCATAATTAGTTGATATCAACCATGTCTCTCACACAACTAAGAATGCAGGGCCAAAATCCAAGATGGCTTCCCCATCCTTAATTTTCGTATTTGCATAATTTTGTTCTATTTGCTATCGAGTATCACCGTCAAAGAATGTAAAAGGGAGATCGTACAAGGTCGAGTCTCTGAATATGATATGGTCTTATATGTGCATTATTAATGGCAGCTTTGGAACGTACTTCTACGGGAGGAGCATCGTACATTCGATTTTTCGATAGACTGACAAGTTTTAACAAGGACGCAGTGTTTGTGATTTTTTAACTTGACGAAATTTCTGGACTCAAATGTTTGTCAACATTCTGAATTAGTGCAAGTTGATGTAGCTAGCCAAACGTTATGTTGGAATCCTCCGCCTGCCTGATATTTTTGTAATCCTTCAACTAGTACCTTGCAAGTATACTTAATTTTCTAAACAAAGATACGTGTATCATATAATGTCGTAAGAAAAATCACCATCAAGCAAATAAAACCGCAAGGGTAATGAAATCAGAAAACCAACATGTGAACAACACAATTACATCTTCCAGCTAATTTGCCAAGCTAAAATCTTTTGATAGGTAAGTGAGAGCAACATCAACGTAAAACATTTTGAATTTTTTCTCAGTTTCAAACAAAATTTGGAATAGAATTGTTCATCAATTGCCTAAAGAGAAAAAAGAACACAACGGATATGAAAACCTCTAGTCGAACAAGCTGAATCCCATGTCATCATCGCTCTCTTCCTTAGTCCTTCCTACAAATACAGAAACGGATAATTTAGATAACAAGTATCATCCTTTACTGTCAAGGCAAGTCGAAGTTTGGAGACTCATAGAATATAACATACAAACTACAACGCTACCAGCCTATAAGTCTACAGAGGAAAGCAAATGCCAAAGCATCACAGTATCATCAAAACTATAATTCGAAAGTCCTCAATCATCAAAACTCTCTTGTGTCTATAATTAACAATAAACATAGTGAATAAAATATAAACAGAGATGATATTCTCTCCTCCTTCTCCTCGACTGCAGACATCTCCATCTATTTTGTAGCCTTTTATTGCTACAGATATGCCATCATCATGATGCAGACATTTCCATCTATTTCGCTCGTCCAAGCCCTCATGCACGACCATTTATAAGATTTTGCAGGCCATGTGCGAAATTTATAAAATGAGCCCTTCTTAGGATAATCTTGAAAAAAAAAATTGAATAATGTATTGAGACTAAAAAAGTAATACCGAAACAAACTCTAAACCTCACACTAATTATAGGTTTCTAAATACCATTAAATGTAAAGAAAACTACAAAATTAACCATATTATTAAATAATCAACGGCCAGTTCAATGGAATTTGTATCCTAGTTCTTCTGCACCTTGCCAATTAGGCCTCTGCCCCAAAACGTACGTATAGCATTTCTTCCGTTTATAAATTGCACACTGGCAAACAAATCCTTCAGAGAGTACCATGAGACATTGAGCAAGGGCATCCTCCCGGTGATGGTGACATTGATGAAACCTTTCACCAAGACTGCTAGTAGACAGAAGAAATTTTGTGGTGCATTTTCAGGAATTTTAGTTAGTACCTTTTCCGAATTTTTGTTAATTTGAGCCATTAGCCATTGCATTGGATCACGGCTGCCAATTAGTCTTATGTAAATCTTTTGAGTTTGTTTGTCGAATGAAGCTGTAGGGAGTACTTGAATCTCTGTGTGGTGTTGTCGTCAGAATGTGTTGCAGAAGTTGTAGGAATGCATATAAATTATAATGTACAAATTTTCAAACTCATTTCATTCTCTTCCAGAACTATATATAAACAATTTGATGAACGTAAAATGTTGAAATGCTCAATTCTTGATTGCTTCATTCTATTGTCACTTAGCCTTCTTTCGGCGTCAAAAGTTCATTTTTACATTACCATGCTGCAACTTTCAGTACAAATTCATTGATGTTGTCATCTTTGTTTTACCCTACGCTAACCGACCTCATTCTCTTCCACAACTATATGTTTGTATGTTTGGTCTCGTTTATAGAGAAATGCAGCTTGGATTTATATCGATCGGGCTAATTATACACACTGCACACAAACGTACATCACCATGATAGTAGGAAGAGATCGAGAGTAAGTAGTATAAATCTAAATAACACTGGATAATAGCCAGTATCTTAATTTGTTCGACAATTACGTTATTACATTGTTACATTAATAAAAAGAGCAAAGGAAGGAAAGGCTCGCAATTCCAATTGGTATGTTTCAAATCAAATGTATGAGTTAGGCGTTGCCAGTCACCGGTGAAACCAAAGTTTCCACGTATATAACGGCTTGCACGTACAAAGCCGGAATTTCTTCAATACCAGGAATGTTGAGTACAATCTTGCATGTGTCTTCTTCCTCTTCATCTGCCTTGGTATATAACACCAAGTGACCTTGACTCGATTGCATCAAAACTTCACCATCATCTTCCATATGGGATATAGGCATCACCCACTTCACATCTGAAGGGAAAATCTCAGAGCGGATTTTGCGAAAATTGTCCAAGATTGATCGACCCCATATTCCATCATCACCCATATGGTAAGGCCGGCGTCCTCCAAGTCATGATGATTTGTAAGGCAATGGCAGGAAGTGTAAAAGAAGAGAAGATTTCCAATAGTCACCAGTCCCGCATCTGTAGTATATCCTTTATGCCTAACAAAGGAAAACGAACGAAATTTCTCCTGTGCGAAATCAAAGGACCAGATTTTTGTTCCCTTGTTCCTTCTGTCATTCTGATTCCAATGTAGAGCTCCATTTAAGAAGCACCCTCGCCGACGGCTTTCTATCAAGGAAGCATCGATGTGGTCTGCTCCCACAATCTTCCATGAACCCGTTTTGAGTGCAAAGATTGCAACCAGTCCTGGATCATCGGGATAATTAAAACCGCCCAAAAAGACCTTGTAGTCTTGAGCGGTGGAATCATAGCCAAGTCCATAATAAAGTGGACCGAAACGAAACAAATCAATGTCCGGTAACTTACGGGCTTTTCTGGTACTAGGGTTCCACAAGAGAAGTCTGATATTTTCATAGGATTTTGGATAGCATTCACTAGGTGGAGGGTCGAGTAGTAGGCAGATGAGGCCATTGCAAGAACCCACAAGGGATGAATCGTTGAGACTAGTATCATCTGGAAATTCATCTTCAAGGTCTCTACGTCGGCTTCGTATTGCTGCTGCAGACGCGGAGGCGGAGACGCTGGAGGCATCGTTCTTCTTCTTCAGTGATTGGTAGTCAACGATTTGGGGAAATCGAGATGGCGGATCCCGAAAATGATGGGAAAGTAGAGGGGGACGTTTAAAGATGATCAAGATATTCTTATTGTTATCGTTGTAGTTGGTACGTCCTCGGTGCTTGGCGATGAAATCGGAAGTGGAAATTAAGGCGCGCCATGACTTGCATACACAACGGAATCGGAGGAGACATATGACTGGTAGCCATGAAATTATCTCGACGATTATATCGTCGTTGGTGGAGGAGAAAATCGGTAATTTTCCATCGTCATCCGCCATAATTACTCAAAACGACGTCGATCTCTGTGCATGTGACTGAGAGAGCGGCTGAGGAACTGAAACTGGCAGATTCTGTTGCTTGTCTGAGACTCCTTGTAAATGCTTTGAAGGTTGCCTCAGTAATATGGTGAGAATTTCTTCCAACAAGCTGTGCCCAACCAAAAGAATAAAACTGTCAATATACAAAGACACTGGAGCTATTTGAAAACCATTACACCCTGACCCTAGTAGTTGATCACCCCAGATCCTCTCCAGATCCCTAAAAACTGAGGCAAAGGATCAAATAATTTGGACTGTTGAAAGTTGATCCAACGGTTACAAACAGAAAGCTTCGCCAAAAATTATAATAATTGTAGTCATTGAATTAAATTTCAACAATCCGGATCATTTGATCCTTAGGCTCAGTTTCTGGGGATCCGGAGAGGATCTGGGTTCCTAGTTGATTAATCAAAATTCTGGCAGTGATCAGGAGGTTGATCCCACATATTGCATGTAAAATCAAGTTAGCATGATCAACCTCAACCCTAAGCAGCTTCATCATATTGTTTAGTGTTGTTCCCTGAATTATTCAGCAATTGCTTGAATTTGACAATCAAAACGAAACAAAAAACAAGCACTGAAATTCAATTTAACAGTAAATTATTATCAGGAGACAAAGACCTCGAGTTGGGGTTGAGAGAGACGATGGAGAGTCGGGGACGAGGAGGGAGCTCGATCAGGATATGCATGCACCGCTGCGAGCCTGCCAATGTGAGTATCTGAGTGATGCGACTCTGAGAGAGACAGGATGTGTGTTGTGATAGGGTTTGAATCAAACGGTGGAGATTAAGGGGTGGAACTTCGGACTTAGGAAGATTTTAAATTTCGTTTTTTGGTCAATAGATTTTAAAAGGCTTTTAAAATTAGTAAATTTGATAGACGAAATTTCTTACAATTTTTATATGGACTTTTATACTATGTTCGAATGATGCAAATAAATTTGAAATTTGATAAAAATTAAAATTTATAAATTTGAAATTTGAATTCATAAATATAAAAATTTAGAATTTTAGCATGGAGAAAAAAACTTAAAATTTAGGACCTTAAATTCTCAAGTTTAAAATAACAAATTTTGTATTCAAATTCAATTGTTCTTTTAGGTTAACCACATAAAAAAATTCACAAATTTTAAAAGCTAAAATTCAGTCATTTCAATTTTCTTCATTTTAAAATTCATTAGTAATGTTAAATTTCGTCATCCAAATAAAGTGTTAAAAATTTTATATGAATGTTTAAAGATTTATGTAGACTTGGTTTATGATGTGTTAAGAATTCCTTTTTTTTTCAATTTATAAATTATTATAGAATTAAAAATAAATAAAACAAAAACGCTTTCGGAAATAAATTTGACGTATATATTTTGGAGTAACCCCTATCTCCTTCCCAACGTTCTCCCCCTCCCAATTCTTTTCTCAATAGATCTATTATTATGTCATAACTTCTGTCAAAATAAGTCACGTGTCACGCATGTGAAGCTGAATCAAGGAATAAATATGAAAAACCAGATAAGAAAGTTATAGCTTGGGTTTATATTGATCGGGCTGAGTATATACACCACACACAAATATACATGATCTGAAAGGAGAAATAGATCAAGAGCAAGTAATAATGGCTAAGCTCAGCACTTCTGCTAAAGTTATGTTGTAAACACGATCAAATCTTCCAGATAATGGCTAAGCTAAAAGTTTTTGATAAGTAAGAGCAACATCAACGTACAACATTTCGAAATTTTTCTCAGTTTCGAACCTAAATTTGGAATAGAATTGTTCATGAATTGCCTAAAGAGAAAAAAAAGAACGCAACGGATATGAAAACCTCTAATCGAACAAGCTGAATCCCATGTCATCGTCGCTCTCTTCCTTTGCTTCTTCCTGCAAATACAGAACCGGAAAATTTAGATAACAACATCAATGGAACAAGTGTCATCCTTTACTGTCAACGAAAGTTGAAGTCTGGAAGAATCGTAGAACACAACATACAAACTACAACGCTACCAGTCCTGTAAGTCTACTGCGAAAAGCAAATGCCAAAGCATCACAGTATCATCAAACTCGAATTCGAAGGGCAATAATCATCAAACTCTCATGGTCTATAACAATAGACATAGAGAATGAATTATAAGCAGATATGATATTCTCACCTTCTTCTCCTCGACTACAGGAGCAGCGGCGCTGGCAGCACCACCTGCACCACCAGCAGAAGCAGTCACAGCTGCGGGAGCTGAACCACCGCTAGCGCAAGCATTCAAGAAAAGGTCCTCGAGGTTTTTCTTTTCTGCAAGCTTGGCAAAGAGGCCAGGCCAGTATGACTCCACCGCCACATTAGCAGATTTCACCAAGGCGGCGATCTTCTCAGCCTATTACAGTTCATTATGAACAAATTTCAAAACGAAAGGTTCAACTACCACACGGAAATAAAGAAACCAATAATCTAGCTACAAAAACAACCCGAAGGGGCATATATACTACTGTTTTTCACATTGTGTATTCTGGATTCCTTTCACCACTGTAGCGAAAACCTACGTCCTAAGTAATATACAAAATGTGTACAACAAAGTCTTTTCCTACTAAGTGGGATCGGCTTATATGAATCATAAAATGTCATTGCGCTCGGTTCTGTGAATATAAAAAAATGTATAAACAGATAAATTATAAGGTTTATATATTCATATAAACTAGCAAAATGATCTTAAACATACAATTTTGTAACACAATTACCCACCATACAGCAAAATTTTATAATTAGCAATTAAATTAAAATGGTAATCTGGATTATGCTAGAGATGTAAACAGAATGCACATATTAATAAGTGGCTTATGAGGTGATTAGTTACTGATTAGCGGGCACAAAGAAGTATATCATAGAGATTAAAAGCACAGAACGGAATGAGGAGCAGTACTCACAGTGACGGCAATGCCATCATCCTGAAGGATCATGGCGGCGTAGGAGCAAGCAAGCTCGGCGGTCGACATTGTATCGCTCACGAAAGACTTGGATGGGTGGCGCAACACAGAAGCAACGGAGAGAATGGAGGAGGAGACTAGGGTTTTGGAAATTGGGGTTTTATATCGCAGAGTTGGTACAGTGTGGGAGTTGCCCCAAAAGAAAGCCCAGTCGGATCGGTGGTGTGACTGATTTTTGGGCCACGGCAAATTCTTAAAAAGGCCCATTGGTTTCTTAGAAGCACTTTCTAAAAACGTACATGCCGAGAAGCACTTTATTTAATAGAAATCACTTTTAACAATATCGCTTGTGAGAACAAGTGTTAATCCCCTTTCCCTACAAACGTCCCAAGTACAAATTCCCCTTCGATGATTAAACGTAGGTGCATGTAACCATCTTGTTAATTTATGACGGCTTGTTACCGGAAACACATCGCAAAAAATGCTACCGACGGTGTCAACGGTTGTTGCCGCCATCGATACAAACAAAATTTCTTTCGCCTATAAAGAAACTAATAGCCAACACAATAGGCAGAGCTTAAATGATAATATTACATGTAGCGTCAAACAACAACATCCATAACCAATAGATTCATGTCTTGTTTTAACCACATACAATCAAAACACCGAAGCAAGCAACAGAAAATTCGACGATATAACGCCCAAGGAATATGTCCGGAAACGGGCCAAGCACAAAAGCACAACCCAAGTATTCTAGATAACATATCAATTAACATAACGCAATCCTTAAATGTATAATAACTAAGCATTATCAAAAACACACATACTCGCCATAACAAAGATAACCAAGGTTCTTAAAAACGAAAATTTTCAACAAGTTCACTCGGATATGATAAATCTTCGCGGATCTAACACCCAAGAACGCCGCGAGGATGACTTGCCAGAGAATCAGGCACTACCGGACCGAGCCTGAAAATAGATCAAGTTTAAAGTCAAAGATATCAAATAAACGTGGTCTTTATTTCAAGAATGCGGTAAACTTTGAATTCAAAAGGATAGAGAAAAGATAGTTCGGTTACCCCTCTACCACAAACAATCTACAACTCGAGGCACCTAAAAGCATAATTTTTTTTTTTTTTTTCTTCTGCTTTTTTCTCCACAACGAAGCTTTTATTCATCCTTTTCTCTGTTCTTATGTGCACTTTGCTAGTTAGGATAACTAAGGATTATATGTTAGCAGCCGGCATACATCCATCATAAGTCAGACCCATGGAAGCAGACGTTAGAGACACACGTTGCCCTAGATCATTCTTTAAATCCTACCCTAAACCAAAAATATCCTGGAACATCTTTATTCTTTACTCAAATTACACTTTCAAGTTTTTAAATATCATATTTCTATGGTATGTGCCGCATGAACTTGTTTTATCAGAACATATTCCACTTACCGCTAGGGGTGATTCTGACCTTGACCTTGACCTTGACCTTGATATTGATCGTGGCCTGCAATAATATATACATGCATTAAATATCATAGAAAGGGGAATTAGAGGATTAGAACCGCCTAGTGGAAAATGTATTAACAAAGCCAAATACCTGGAAGATTTAACCGGCGATGGAGACCTAGATCTTGATACTGATCTTGATACTGATTTTGATACAGATCGGTCCAACGACTTGCTGCATGATACAGAAGACCTCTCAAGATGGAGCACACATGAAAGCCCAAAAAAAGAGAAAAAAGAGAAAGATAATGATAAAAGTTAATAAATAAAAGAATTGAGGGTGGGTCCAGTACCTCCGATTCCTTCTCACACTTCGGCTTCTGCTACGACTTCTACTACGACTCCTTGAGGGACTCCTATCGTAATATTTAACCTGTACAGTTGATGCACAAACAAACATCACAATGTTCTCAGAGTGCCTCTAAGCCCAGCTGTCACCATCATTACTGTAATGCATAAGTATAAACTACTCTAGACCTCTCAAATACTTTGTTCCAGGATTACAAACAAACATATTTAACATAAATCAATGATTCACAATGGTTACGGAAATATATTACCCAGAGAAAGGACAGCAAGAGAAAACTTCCATAAACATAAAGGTTACCCGAATATGAGTCCTTGCCCAAGGATTTTTGAATTCAGTATCATCAAGCTTCCGGATCTGAAAAAAGAAAAAAAAAACATGTGAGCTAGTGAATTAGGCAGAGCATAATGGCAGGAAAACGTCCAGTATTTCATGTTTGTTTCAACAACTTACAGCATATTTCATGTCATCAGAATTTGTGTAATCGACTAAGCCATAAGTCCCTGAATACAAAAAAAATTCATTTGGTGAGAGATGATACAAATTTGAGAGCACATTCACGATGAAGATCAGCTTCTTGGTACCAAGGCCTTGATAAAATGATATGCTCTTTGGAGCGTAGACATTTTATTTTCTGATCCTTAGAATCTATACCTTCACTGTCACGAGAAACCTCAGCAAAACACACATCACCAGCTTTACGCATATGATCCTGAAATCAACAACCAGTAACGTCACCAGTATTGCACAAACATTATTTGAATATAAAACTGCGAGTAAAAGTTTCCACACCTTCAAGTCTTGCCACGAGGCTGAAGAAGGGAGATTACGAACAATAACTGGACATAATGCAATTGTGTGTCAAGCAGTAAACAACAGTTAAAAAAAATATAACTGAACCTTATGTAGAGCATTGCAAAACATATCTAACTCATTAAAGTAATGTACTATCCTAGAAAATACACCTCGATATTCAGAATGACGTGAAACACCAAACCGGCCCCCACCACTGCCTCCACCACTGCTGCCTCGGTCATATCCACCACGACGATCACTTGAAGATGGGCCCCTACCACCATGGGCAAGTTCAACCTGTAATGAGATTAAAGGAGATATTTATAAATCAAGCAATCAAATATATGAAAGAAAAGAAAAACATATATTGTTTTAGCAAGTAATAGGGATCTTTTAGTACCCTTAAACGGCACCCATCAAAGTTATACCCATCACGCCCCCTGATTGCATCTTCTGCATCCCGAGAACTCTCAAACTGAAAAACCAAATACACAGAGTATTGACCAGTCATCAGATAACAGGCTAATGCAAAAACAGAGTAATCCATAGGACAATAAGAGAACCAACAGGGTAATGCATGCATCCAGTACATACAACCATTATAGGTACCTCAACAAAAGAATAACATGGAGGACGCGGTGGAATCTTCAGTTCAATATCCACTATGCGGCCATACTGCAAAAGAAAATCCATTTTAGAATGATTATCATGAAAATACTTTTTACATCAACAAATCACATGACCAGAACAAGAATCATGATGAAAGTAAAGTGCAAGCGCTCAATTGGTTTTCTAAGTTTCAACAAAAATTGACCCTGCATATCATACCATATGCTGTTAAGTAAATTAATGTATTTTCATATGCATCAGAAAGTGGAAAATAATTCATAACACCATGATGAGACAGCGAGAATGAGATAAAGTTCAAGAGAAATGCAGGAAGCTTATATACAAAGAACAAGCAAAATTATAAGCGAAATTTCATGCAAACCTTGTAGAATAGATCTTCAACCTCCCATTCTTTTATATCTGAGGGAAGGTTGCCAACGTAGATCGTACGAGAAAATCGGCCACTCATATTTGACAACAGAAGACTCCGGCTACAAACCTTTTACTGCATTAAAAATAACAATTCCAATAAATGTTTTGTCCAACAATTTTCAAAATAGAATAACACTAAAACTTGGGTATCCATTATTATTATCATCCCGCGTACACTCTGTTGACAATATGAAATGAAAAACAAAACCAAACATGAAGCAAACCAAGAGAGCAATCCTCGAGGTGAGCCGTGCTCCACAAGCTCCATTGCTCATTTGCTCCAAAGGTGCTCCAAAGCATTATTTATAGTGAAATAAAATTTGATCTCCTCATCCTCTCCAGAATTTTAGCAGATGTATAGATCTTCTGAGAGTGAGCAAGAATCTCCCATAATAAAAAATAATACCCATAAGTCCAAAATGATTTCTCCCACTCCCTCTCTATATCCCTATGTATGATTGCAAAGCTCATATTTGTCCAAGCGCTTGCCATCTATCATAAAGAAAGCATCTGTGTCATGAGATCAGGCAAGATTGACATATATCTATGAATTTACCTTACTCAGCCCTCCTTAACATAATTGAAAAACAAAAAATGAAAACCCTGGAAAACAAATTCATATCCCTTGGTTAACATATTTTTACTAATACTTGCAGCTTTGCATACATATATATATCATATCGAGGGTAGGGGATGGAGACATGAGTCGCTCAGCTCACATAATTGATAAATCATAAGGCCACATTATGGGGTTTTAATTTTATCATAAAAAAAATTGTCAAAGATGCACTTTCCAGCTTCATGGATTCTGTTTCTTGACCCAACTTCTCATTGAATTACATGTAGTATAAGTTGTACTACTTGGAGCAATAATCGGAAAGTCCATCTTCCTGATTTATGCTCCAATAAAAAATACATTAACCCGGGAAACAGAACGGGAAATTATGAATAAGATGAAATTCATCAATCAAACAATAATACTTTACCTAGACATGTAAAGAACCCTGCTCGATAGAACTTCCCTAAATCTATCACCCATAGTAGCTGAACCTATAAGGTAATCATCTAATCTCTACTTCCATAATTACTGATTGAGCCCGATAAATGAGGGGGCGATATTAACAACATCTCCTTCCACCTCACATCCAAGTGTCCTCGGGCTAAAGACCAAGCCAGCACTAAACCCCTTTTCCTAGTCGACTTGATAAGCGAAAGCTATTCAATCATTCCAAAAATGTGTATCTGCTAACAAATTTATAATTAATTGTAAAAAAAAAAAATGAATTCGCATCGAAACAGTACAGCAACATTCATCACGGAAATCATAAACACTTTTTTGGTAAAAACATATCCAGAAAATAATTAGAGAATCGTATCCACAAAATAATATCGATTCAAAATTCAAACAAAATAATCAAATATTCAAAACCTGTTAGTCGAAGAAAACCTAAACACAATTGCGCACAGCTTTTACAAACAAGACATGAATCGAATACTCATTGAACAATGCTAGCGCCTACGAAAACCTAGACATACAGTATAACCAATCCCACAAAACCCCGAAATCAAAAACCCTAAATGCATTAATGCCCACAAATGGAAAGCGATGGGGGAAGCAGGACGAGTATCAAACCCGAAATTGATTGGAGAGAGCTTGAGTGCTGGAGCGTGTGCCAAGAGTAGCAGAGAGCTTGAGATTTGAGCGCTAGGGTTCCGCTTTCGCTGCGTCGAGAAATGAGAGGGAGAAAATTGGGCTTAGGGCACAGGGAATTGGTAACTGCAAGAGAGAGAGAGAGAGAGAGAGCGAAGTCGATTTTCTGATTTGGTTGGTCGGTGTGTGATTTGATCTTGCAAATTAAATCTACGGCTGGAGTGTATTTGGGCCTTGGGCCTCATATTCAAATTCGAATGTTATCTCTAATTTAAGAATCAAATTTGGGGAAGGCCCTTGGGCCTTAAAATGACATAAATTGTGTGACCCAAGACCATGATCCTCGTTTGAAATCTTTATTTAAAAAATACACTAAAGAACAGTTGAAATTTAACTAAATAAGATTTTGTTAAAAGCACTTCTATGGTAAGGACATCGGATTATAGCGTGTTTACCAACTCAAAATGATGAAATTCATGAATCGGAGAAGTCAAGAATATGAAAGATAATGAATTAGAAAGTAACTCCTGGTTGGGGATTCGAACTTAAAACTAAAAATATTTACTTTTAATCATTTGAGCTCCAAACTCCTTCTTAAATTTCCAAAGTATTAAATGAAAAATTATACTATGAAACTCGCATACTGCTTATCCCGTCGACAAAAATTAAGAATTAAAAATAACACAACATACTATTTTGCTTCCTCATCCTTTTTCTTGTTCTTCTGGTGAATTTGGCAATTTTGTCAAAGTTTTTGACTTGCAAATTTCGTTTTCCCGGTCATTAATTCTATGAATAGTAGTATTAGTTCAATTGCTTTCTTCTTGTTTTGGCTGAACACTTTGGTCAAGTTGCCTATTTTTTCCAAGACCATCCACATTCCACGTACCTTGTGTTTGGTCGCAATTACAAATTAGCTATCAATCCATGCGTGCTAGTTGGTGAGTGGGAGAGGGAGGATATTTAAATTGCTTGGTCCCATCAGGAATACTATTGACCTGCATACATATCAATGATATCATCCGATATGAGCAACGTTGAATAGGTCCTACCAACCACATACATGGACCATTTTAGTAAGCATTGAGTGTATAGTATCAACTGGAATATTTGATTGCACGGTTAACCAATAACAGACGCATTAAGGGACTTGGATCGTCCTGGGACCACCCAAAAGTCTGAATAAATGGCTGGGAGGACCTCTGGAGACCATTTAAGTTTGGGCATGTGATGGAGGAGAAGAGTGCAGAGGCGGACCATAGGTGCAGTATTATGTTTTTTTGAGACTTGGCCAAAATAACGTTGTTTTGAGTCAAGTCCTTTAAAACAAAATAATTAAAAGCAAGCTTTCTTATTAAGCAACGTGAGGGAGTTGTAGTTTATCAATTAATTTTTTTAAAATTTTATATTGGGATCAACCAATGTTAGAATTTTGGATCTGCCATTGCATCTAACTATTCATTCATTTGAAACATATCATACACAGAAGTCTAGAATAAATTTAACTACTTATAATTTTTTGTGAATAATGCACAGGTGTATAGTAGACATCAAAATTTTTGGTCGTTCAAATCTTGGACTGCACATCCAATATTTCATTAATCTGATAACATATCGGATATCGGAGCATAGTAAAATTTTCACTACATATTAGAATTTCCTAGTATGCAATTGGTGTATACTATACGCGGTAGATCTATGACATTGGATGTTCAAACCAAACAATCCCTTTCCATGAACATTTTGACATGGACTGTTTGAATTGGCGGTCAGAGTGTCAAATTTTTTACCCCTTTCTTTCACTTGTAGTGCAAGCTGATTTGAAATAACTGAGACTTGGGACCGAGTGCGAGTAAAAGTTACCACTTGTTTACATATTTTTACGTAACAACAATTTACAGCCCCTTTTTCTAACATTTTGTTGGCTTGCTTTTATAGTGCAACATAGAAGCCATGCGTGAAGTGAAACTATCGGAATCTTTGATCCATTTGAAGAGATGAGGATCTTGTTCGATGGTATCACTTTATCGTGTTCATGCATCGTACATCATTTAACTAATTTTCGTCAGGTACTGTTTACGTTTAATTTTAAATAAAAAATATTCAAAATGATTTATGGCCGTAAAATGACTGATGAACAAACACGATAAAGTAATCTCCAAAATCCTCACAAAGAGGATCCGAATATGATCATGTTCCCATTTGAAGGACCGTGTTGTTAGAGAAGCAACCTGACCAGCCACTTTTCAGTTATTGTCTATTAGCCTAAAACTGCTTGCATTGGGAAATTGGAATACGCTGCCTAATCCCAAAAATGAACTTTAGAGCATCTCTAAAGAAGATGTTAAATCATAAGTGAAGATGTCACTATGCATATTTGACATAAAAAATTCTCCCAACCGAAGCGTTATTTGCCGACTGAATTTAAAGTTTTTTGTAATTACTGAGTCAAATTTGACATTAACGTCAAATTTAATTTTATTAGTTTAATAATCGGTCGCATATTTCACTAACTTTTCAACCAATAAGAATTTTGTTTCAACAACTTTTTTAATAAATACTACCATTTAAAGCTCTACATTGATAAGAAAATAATATTTGACAGTTTGTTGGCTGTTGTCCTCTTTACTTTTGTCTTTTTATTTTTTTTAATGGATATCGTGAATATGATAAATAAAAAAGATCAAAATTGTTGCTAAAACACTGCCAATTCCAACATTTGCTCACCGATTTTGCTAAATTCAGTCTGGCTTTTTTTTTTTCGAAATATTTAGTTCGATTAGTTTTGGTTAATTTTGGTTCATGAGTGGATAACCTAGCATGGGAACGAATTAGATGTCGCAATCAGATTCCTTGCCTTAAAGAAGTAAACATGAACAATTTGGATTACGTGGGAATAACTAGCCATTGAAAAATTTTGGGGTTGAGATTATCTCCGGATCTCGTAGGCCGGAGCCGATGGATCGATAAATCCATATCATTCATTTTAAATCATACAACCCCAATTTGTTCATCTCATTGGTCCATCTCACAGAAATCAAAGGTCGGGATCTCTTTTTCTTAAACGGTCCAAATTTGTCGATTCATCAACTTTGAACTACAAGATTTGAAGATGTTCTGAATTCCAAATTTTGGACAATTGAAATCTTGGCAGAGCCCTGTAGGAATCGTCTGTTCCACCTCCAAAACAAATACGGTTGATTTTGAGAAATGGTGATTGCAAATTCGCAAACAACGGATGGATCATTCGATTTAAAACGTGTTTTAAACCCCTATGTCCATCATTTAAAACATGTTTCTGTCCAAGTGAAAATAATTAAATTACTATTGCACACCATTTTTCCGTGCAAACTATTTTGTTTTTAACCATTACATTGAATTCCGACAAAAAAAATTACTATTACATTGAAGAAGTTTACGAACAAAGTATAAGAATTGGAATCATTTTAATTTTTGAGTTTTTTGTATTTACTAACACGTAAGGAATCGGAAAAAAAAATATTAGTTTCTCATCACGATACGTGATAAAAAACTTGAAAATCATGAATCAATTATATAGGGATGCTAGTTCATCCAATTCAATTTCCTTACTTTCCATGTTCCTAAGTTCTCACATTCTTTTATTCTTTCATTCCTGTTAAGTAAACATGTATGTCCTAAAGTGAAATCAAGGGTAAGAATTAAGAAAATGTGTGCAAAAAGTAAAAAATAGTAAGCGTAAATTCCTCCTCTTTCGAAATTAAAGTTTTTAAATTGTTAAACATATCTTATTATCTACAGATTTGACTCAAATAAATAGCAAAAACAATATATGTTTGTGATGAGTTACTTGAAATAACCAAATTATCATGAAACAAGGCTCATATCTTGAGAAAATACAAATTTTGGACCACAACTTGGATGAATGTGGACAAACTTGATGACATTGGGCAATATGACTATTTCCGAAAAGAACAGGGAAATGGTAATACGCTCCTGTTTAGTTATGTTCGTTATTTTTGTTTATTTATTTAATTTAATTATTAAAACTAAAGAGAGATGTGGATGAATTAAAAATAATATGTAAAAATCAGCACGTGAAATGAAAATAAGTGTAAAATGCAAATAAAATGACCTCATAATTCAAGGGCGATGGGGAAAAAGTGATGGATGAGTCTTGTAACTCCTTCATCTTTTGCCAAAAAAAGACGAAAAATAGAAAGACAAAGTTTGATGAAGGTTCGGCATGCGGGATGGACATGAGAGTTCATGTTGTTGTTATTGAATGCTGCCAAAAGGGAAAGGACCACGGGCCAGAGAAACCGCCCTGTTGCATTGAGCGTTTATTTCACTTATCCATGAAATTATATCATTGAATTTCAACAAAATTAACAATATATATATATATATATATATATATTTTGGTTTTGATTTTTTGTAATTGTTTAGGAAAATAAATTTGGAACAGTCTGATGATACATGTTTTATTTTCTCTCTCTTTTAAGACAGATTTTTTACTTGTTAGAACATGATTTAGTATACCAAATCCAGATTCAGGATTTGAATCTTGGGTGGTTCCAGTGTTAAAAGGTCTAAGTTATGTAGATAGAAACAGAGCGGAAACGTGCAATTTCTTTTTCTTCAGTTTATTCACTAAGACATTTCGTCAAACACTTGACGAGTGATATCGTGAGGATTTGTCGAGTATTGTTCATGCAACCTATCGAGATATATCTAACAGGTATTACATCAAACATTTGGTAAGTACAAAGAACTGCGAACAAAATATTCGGAGGGTCCTTGGAAGACCATTACATGTATTTTTTCTCTGCATGGTCGTAAGACCACCTGAGTCCCAGTATGCATCTGTCTCTGGTACTAAGCGTAATAATACAATTGGTTGGAAACTTAAAAAATAAAATAAAATAAAAATTTGCAACTAATTATATTATGACACTTGGTATACCTGACCGTGTTCTTAGGTGCTAAAAAAATTATCCTATTTTAGTGGTTGGGGCCGACTTGTTATTCTGTCTGGGAAGTGGAAACATCATCAAATTATATGCATGTACTTTTTGTAAATTATACCATAATATGTAAGTAGAATAATTACTTGTTGGTTACAAAGACCATTGTTTCACCAACAAGTAATGAACAAATGAAACATGATTGTATGTTAAAACAAGCAAATTATGAGTGAAAGGCTTCTATGAATTATTTATAGGGGTGTGTTATTCACACACCTCATTTTATTTCTCACACACTCCTTGATAATTTATATCCGTTGATCTTCTTCAATTCATCCGATTCGATGGTCGAAAATTAAAAAGGTGTGTAAGAAGTAAAATAGAATGTATGGATATCACGCCTCTATTTCTATAGATTTTCCCTCTCTTTTTTTTGGTCCATATAGATTCTCTCTTTTTAATGGAAAGAAATGAAGTATGTTTGGTGCACTTTTGTAAACATTTTTATGTTTTGGCAAATAGCTAATAAACTTCCTATAGCTAACTCCTTGGTTGATGATGCTTGTCATCAAATCTTCACATCAAGTGTCGCTTGTGATAGGGGTTGCTTGTCTAATCCGATACTAACTTGTTTAACTTAATACGGTAAAATAAGATTGATGTCATCGTTACAGTAATATTTTTTTAACAGTTTAGACAAAGAGTTTCATTATTGCTAACCGCGTGAACCTAACCGTCTTTCTTGTTATGTTCATTTTTGGAATCGTATGACACGCGTCACGTTTCTATTAGGTACACATTTTAATAGCGGTCATCTTCTTACAATATAACCTTTAATCTTCTAACCCTAAAAACTAGCCTCTATTTTCTCTCGCCTCATATCTGCCGCTATACTCAAACGTCTGTCCTCCTCTATCTAGGGTTGATGCTTGCTCTCCTCCTCGCCTCCCCAATGTCCTTCCTCGAATTTTCCTTGTTTATCAAGACTCCCCATGTTATTATATCTTCACTCGTTATGGTATTTATGATTTTGTGATTTTTTATGGATAGTTTTCCTTTCTCGATTTGGTTGCCATTTACCTAATTATCTTATTTCTTGTGCTAATGATATGTTTCTAGATACTTTACCTATTCAATGGGGTTGATCTATTTGTTGTTTGATTTCAATTTGAATTTATGCTTTTGTTTGGTTGTTTATGAACAATTATAGTGAAAATAATGATGGAGGAACGAGTTTGTAGTGCCGAGTTGTTTTCACATGATAATCCAATTTGGTTCAATCAACTTCTTGAGTGATGGAGTGGATCTCATGTTCTGATCGGCCGACTTCAAATTTGAAACATCGACATTTGAGTAGGCCGGATTGTTTGATGGATAGAGTCACAACCCTTTCCAAGCTATTGACCCGACCTAGTGCTTTTCCAGGTACTATCCCTATGTTTGGGTAAAAATTTCCCTACTTCTAAGGAAGTTAGACCAAATTATGAAGAAAAGAACCATAAATTGTTAGATAAAGACGATTATAAATTGTATTAAGCAAAGCAATAGTAGTTATTGTTTATTTATTATATTATACACACGTATATGTAAAAATATTGTGATAAATAAACTAATTAGATAAGAATTTATAGTTCTTTGGTTCAGGGTATTTACTTGCACATTCGAGATCGTAAATTCAATCATTCGTTAACAGATTAACTATATCGTCAATGTCATTCCTAGGTGAATTGATTTCTTTGTCAATTATAATTAAATTTCAACAACGTATATGTGGTTTAATATCCTAATCTTTGTCAATTATAATTAAATTTCAACAACATATATATGGTTTAATATCCTAATAAATAGAATGTTAAGTTTTCACTCATCGGATTAAAAATACTGCTCTCTTATATTATTGTATTAACTTTAAACGCTTCCCTTAATAATAATAAATATAAAACAACAAAAAACTAATACTTGAATTTATATGCGACATGGTCAAACTTTCACCCATTTTCTATTCAAACAAAACACATAAAAATTCAAAGTTTGTTTTAATCACCGAAAAAACTACGAAAACAAAAAGCAAAGCAAATTGAAAACACCAAAACTCGTTCACATGCCTCCAGTGTCAACGTCAACTTTCAAGCATATAAAAAACGTCGACGTCTTTCTGTATTCGATTTCTCAATTTTTTTCATCAATTAAACAATTATACTTTTGTGAGATGCTAAAATATAATGATTAAAAAAATTCTGCAACAACAATCGAGCCTTATTCTATTAAGTGAGGTTGAAAGTCGATTGTATAAATCTTAAAACATCGTTACGTTCGATTTTACACCAAGTCTCCTTTAACTACAAGTATTATATATCTTTTCTTAAAATTTCTTTCAAAATTTTCGTAAGTATCTCTGCATCTCTTTTGTTCTAAATTTCTGTCAATAATTAAAAAACTTTTAATTATAAAGTATTATCACTGCTCCAAATTCAACGTTTCTATTTTTTTAATTCATTTTCCAAAGCCTTTTGTTTTGTTGCAATTAAAAAATTCAAGTCAACAAACTTCCTCTGAATTATAACGTAACAACCTCATTCAAAAAGATTATTCTTCTGACCAGAAAAATGCAAAAAACGTTGTGGGGGATGGATGCATATCCAAAACAATTTGTATATGGTAAGTACATAAACCCTTCTTAATTTCCTTCCATAATATGCTCTCACTAATCTTATCTCAATGGGCGAAAACAAAATTTAGTGTGTTAAAAACACGAGTCAGTATATTAGGTGATATAATATATTTGTTTAATTTTTTTTGTAATTTTTAACAAATTATATTATGATATTTGATGTATTGGACAGTGTTCCGACACACTGAAAAATTTCTCTAATGCGTGTATGTAGGTCACGCATGCTTGATGCATGTCATCATCTATAAAATTATATATTTAATATAATATTTATGTTTGTGCAATTTTGTATAAATATTTATATGGGGGAAGTACAGAAAGGAAAACACATGGGTTATTGTGGCAATTAAAAAATAAAAGGTAATTGGGTTGGTGGGTAATTTTTTTCTTAAATTTTTATTCATCACCAAAAAATGTATATCATAGTCATCGACAATTTGGTACGTTGTGAGAGAAGAGAAGGTCCAAAAAGGCAGTGCCCTCTCTCTCCTCTGCATAGAACGGACGATCCCAAGCACCAAAAACGAACACCCTTTACCTCTCTCTCTCGTCGAGACTCTCATCTTCACTGAAATTTATAATCTTTTAATATAAATAAGAGAAGAAGAAGAAAGAAAAAAAAGGTAGTGCTTTGTTTTTTTTTACCATTTTCTTATCAAATTTGCAGGCTGTTTTTGCCCTTTTTGTTGCTTTTGCGTTTTTAATCTCGTGTACTTAAGCGATCTTGAGGTGGGTTTGATTTCATTTCAATGGAGTTGGTCTAGAAAAATCCAGGTAAGTTTTTCCGGTGAAATTCATCATCTGGGTCTGTCTGGAAATTTTTTGTTCTTTGTTGGTTTGAAAAATGATTCGTTTTTTTATTTATTTCTATGATCAGCAGTGTTGGGTAACAATTTTGCAGATAAATTTTGAAGAAGAATAAAGATTCAGTCTTTGAATCGAATAAAAGGGGTTGTTCTTTGATCATGGCTGTTGCTGAGAGTGCACCAAATTTCGACAACACAGCAGTGTCGTCAGACTCGAATGCACAGAACGATCTCGAAAACCGAAAACCCAAAGTCGATTCCTCTGTGGTCCTGAGTGCCGAGGCCAATGTACAGTCCAACGGAGACGATCAGAGTCCAGAGGGGAAGTTTCTGGAGCAGGAGAAAGTGACAACTTTCTCAGTCGCCACTAACAATCACAAGGCTCAATCGGGTCAGACCCCAAATGGGGTTGATTCCAATGGGGTTGATAACCATCAGACGGCGGAGGATATGTCTGAAGGCTATGTGATTGATCAGAGGTCAAATGGGGAAGGGGATGAGAAATACAAGCGTGAAATGAGAGATTTGGAGGACTTGCTGTCTAAGTTGAATCCCATGGCTAAGGAGTTTGTGCCTCCTTCCCTTGTCAACAACAATGGCGGCTTTGATTTTGCTGGTGGGTTTGGATTTACTAACGGATTTATAATGCACACTAACTCTGGCAATGCCAATGGACTAATGGGTAGGAAGGTATGTGAGATTTTTGCATTTCCTTACCAAAGTTTAAATTTTTTATGTTTGGCTGCTGAGAAAATGCAGGTAATTAATTGATCGACAAAGTAGTGGTGTTTTCGTTTTGTTTGGTTGTTTTTCCTTGTGTTTTGTTTCTGAAAAATGAATGATACACTGATAGGTCATTGTATTATGAGGATTCATATGAAAATTTTGGTTTTTTTTTTTTCGACTTTTAGTTATCTAGAAATTTCATTGATCAAGTACCAATATTTGTTTAATTTTGCTTTTCTTATTGTTTGTTTACCTTCTTTTCGTTCACAGAAGAAGAATGGTTATAGTCAAGGTCGGGGTAGGAACTATTACAAATTGAATTTGGCTCAGAGGGAGGAAATGATTAGGAGGACTGTATATGTATCTGACATTGACCAACAGGTAATAGTTGCATTGTAGTTTGCTATCACATTTCAAAAAATTTGTGTTGCAAATGCTAATCTTTGTATAACTGACATTCTGTTTATGTCGTATCAGGTTACTGAAGAGAACCTGGCTGCTCTCTTTCTTGGCTGTGGACAGGTAACCAAAGTTTTTACTTTTCTAGTTTGTATGGGTTCAATATAGATAATGCTAGAATGGTGGATTATAATCTGAATTTCTCCATGGCTTCTTCCTAAAGGTTGTGGACTGTCGTGTCTGCGGTGATCCAAATTCAGTTCTTCGATTTGCCTTCATTGAGTTCACAGATGAAGGTATTATAAAAACTAACATGTTGCATGCTTTAAGTTCATTGATAATTCTGGGTCTAGTTATGATGAATTAATGAATCTTTGTTTCAATGTGCTGATTCAACGATTTTTCCATCCTTGCAGAAGGTGCAAGGAATGCTCTAAGTCTGTCAGGAACGATGCTTGGCTACTACCCAGTAAAGGTGCTGCCTTCAAAAACTGCAATTGCACCTGTTAACCCAACATTTTTGCCAAGGGTGAGGACCATATTTTACCACTTGTCATCAACATTTTTCCCAAGAGTGATAAAAAGTGATTCATTGAATTGCGCTGATTTTACCTGTTCTTACTTGGGTTTCTTTTGTTATTATTTTGTAGTCTGATGATGAGCGTGAGATGTGCTCAAGGACTATTTACTGTACAAATATTGACAAGAAGGTAATTCCAACTTTCCGATCACGTTTGGGTGTTTTAGGACAATAACTGGTGCACCTTTTCCTGAATTGTTTGTTTACTTGGTGCAGATTACTCAAGCTGATGTCAAACTCTTTTTTGAAACACTTTGTGGAGAGGTTGGTAGTTCAGTTTATGACAAATTTTGATTACTGCTTGTTCTAAAACTGCAACCTTATTGTATGGACTTTCTTCGGGTCGTGTAGGTTCAGCGCCTGAGGCTGCTTGGAGACTATCATCACTCCACTCGTATTGCTTTTGTTGAATTTACCGTGGTAAGTACCTAGTGTATGTAAGTTGGATTTTTAGCACACCTAAGCCTCATTGTGTACTGTGCTTTGTGAGTGTGTATGCATGTATTCATCTTTTCTCTGGGGCAATTAGAGGTCAAAACCTACAGTTGATTTATAGTCCGACCTTTTCTCTTAAATACTTGTTAGTCTTCGATCAGCATCAGACAGACCTGTCTGATTTACTGTTCTGTATAAGTAGCTTTGAAATCTATTGTCTCACACTTTCACTACTGTTTTAAGATTTGGCTTTAGTTATCTGATTCGAATAGAACACCACAGTAAGCTTTACCCCTTGTACCACTGGTATTATAGTAAACAGAAACTATGGCAATAAAACAACTACTCACTGCCCCTTCCTTAGCGACTCTAAGTGTTTCTTAAACAAACAGACCAAGTAAAATGGACATGTTTGGAGGACCATAGTGATCAAGGGGAAGGAGCAGATAATTGGATAGGAGATGTTAACCTACATATCTGATCTACTCTCCAAACATGCTTGAAATGGAGTTGTATGGGCATGGCTAACACCGAATTGATGCAAATCATTGATGTGGTCTGTTGTTGCACATACGCATGTCCAAAATCACCCAGTCACCAAATATTTTGATTTAATTGGTGAAAGTTTCTTCGACATAATATTTTGAAGATCATAAATTATTTTGAACAAGGAAAATGGTCTTTCTGTTATTTTGAGTTGTTCTATTTCTTTGTGAGAACGATTAGATTAAAAGTTGTCTATTAGTCTTCTCATCCTTTCTGTTGTGCTCTGTAACTTAGGTAGTGAAAATCTGAGAATGATTCTTACTCTCTATGTTTTCACTCTTGCAGGCTGAAAGCGCCATTGCGGCTCTTAACTGTAGTGGTGTGGTTATGGGATCGCTCCCGATAAGGTCAGTTTGTCAGAATGTTCAGCTTGCCTCATTACCTCTCCCCGCATCCCCCACCTCCCACGCCTCAAATTTTCTTTTAGGATCAATTTACTTTGGACATCCTATTCATTCTTTATGTAATATGCATGCAGGGTAAGCCCCTCAAAGACACCAGTTCGACCCCGTGCCCCTCGTTCTCCGCCGCAGTGAACCACCTCTTCATGTTTCCATGACTAATCTGCTGCTGATAGATATATCAACCGTATGCATACACAGAGACAAACATTTCGGCATATTGTGTTTCTCTACGCTTTTGTCATGGTTACTGTTAGGTATCGTTGTGACCTACATGGGGTTATCTGTGGGTTTTATTTTAAACTTGTAGAGTTGGATGGAATTCTGAGGAGTTTAATGGTTTAATTTTACTGAACTTCGTTATGAAATCTAGAGGGATAATCCTGAAAATCTTGAATGCTTTGAAGCTTCTCACGATCGGAAGCTCTTTAGAGCTTGCCGGTCTTAACTTTTCGTGGTGCTCTTTTCTCGTTCTAATCTCACCCACATCTGGCTTTCTAGCTGCTCAGAGTTGGGGCGACATTTTAGATTTGTGATCCCAAAATTCCTCCCACATGATGACTATGGAGCTAGGTTTTCTTAGAGACTTGCGGAGGCCACCGTGATGGTGTCTGAATCTAATAACGCACTAACTTGTCAAAAAAGTTCAACAAAAAAATAGTGCGTTATTGGTTTTTTCTATCGCCCCAATGGTTTTGTAGGTCTAAGTTGCCTAACTGGCTTTATCTTCCATACATTAAAGTAGTCAATGAACTTCTGTCACTTTTCCTCTCCTCTCGTCGAGATAATTTGTCTTGTACCTGGTTGTATATCTTTTCGTGTCTATGCTTCCTACTTGTCCTCTTCTACAACGGAAGGTTTGGTCAAACATTTCATTATTCAATATAGTTGGATGAAATTTTCACCCAGGTTTGATCATAGGACTCCAAATTTGATTGAGTAATGCCCTCAAGGAGCAACTCTACCGCAGAAAACTCATATTTGAAAACAAAAACTGAAAATATCTACGAATTTCGTTACAAGTTCTCGAAAAAGAAAATTGTATTGACAAAGAAAAAATGTATAAATGAATCAAGTAGCTAATAGAACAGTCTGTAACAGGGAATGTCTAATGCATCCCAACTTTATAATCTCAACAAGAAACTTGTTCTGTACCGAACAATAGTCGATGAACTCTTCGCGAAGTCGGAGGCAGTTGTCGGCGTTTACCGGTGAAGGGGTCTGCTGGCATTGCATGTATAACAAGTATGCACTGCACTAGTTAGATCAGAGACCCAAGTTGCAAGTACCTGTGACTCTGAGTGAAGTAGTAGGAAGTGGTAAGCTCTCCAGTTTGTGTTTGGGTTTGGATGTTGTTGGACTATATTCCATGAGTGGTTTAAGAACTTTTCGTTTTCATTTTTCGCATTGTTTTGATAATTTGATTACTACATGAAATCAAAATTGAAACGCTACTTTGTTGAATTTTTAAAATTGAAAGCTAAAAGTATTTACCAGACGAATTTTTAGCCAAAAAAGCTGAAAACTAAAAACAAAATGTTATCAAACGGCCCATAAATTATTCAAATCTATAGAGTTGGAAGATTCAAACTTCATACAAGACAACAAACACTTTGCCCCAGCCAATTAACCCACATCTGTGTCGATTGGCTTAGATTCGTTGAACTTGTTTGGAACCACAACGAAGGAGTTTCTCTACTTGAGGGTGAGTCGGCACAATGCCTTCTAAGGTTTTCATACACTCATGGATGGGCTCCTCCACCCATCTTTCTTTCTGTTCAAAAACCTAACATATGTGTTCCGCCCCAACCCACTTTTGACCGTTCAGCACCCCATGCAAATCGAACTGGATGATCATTTGTCTCTTTGCAATTCTAAGTTCTAGATGTGGCAGCCTAGCTCAAAGCTAGTTTCACAGATTTTACATGTTTGATGAGATCTACTTACGTACGCATTTGTCTCATCTTTTAATCAAACTTATCAAAATAAATTCTTACATAGAATCGAAGATATATCCTTTTATATCCAGTTCGTCATCACGTCATAAACTCTACATACAAAAGAATATATCCTCATTCACATACATATCGCTGACGAATTTAAAATGAAGCATGAGAAGGCCAAAGTCTAGGGTTAGGTTAGGTTCATGGGGTGTACTTATTTAAATAACCTAGTAAGCTAACTACTCAATAAACTAATTAATTAGAGGTGCACTTTGTGCAAGCAGGAGATCTCTGTCTTCTGGTTTCATTTCTTTCTTCCTAATCTGACAAAGACATGCACTCAGTGGACAACCCAAATCCACCTTTGTGAATTTGAACAAACGTAACCAATTAAAATGCGAATCCATTGATGACTAATACTAGTTAAACACAAAAATGATCACATATTTTCGTTTTGTTGATTATTTGTTCTTTGCGGGTTTTGGTTCGATCCCCCCATTATATATCTAGCTCTTTTATTTTAGTTTATTAATAAAAAATAAGGCGGATGAGGAAAAGCATGAAATATTTTAGATGTATTGGTCCTTAGCCCTACACAGAAAGGTTGGTTTCTCTTACACAACCATTACGAAAGGGCTAATCTCGTCCATTCCTACAAATTATGCTTTAAGAAAGAAAAAAGAAGCACCACTTGGATATATAGGTATGTATTTTCTTTTGTTCTTTGGCGTCACCCAAGCCATAAGGATGATGTATCTACCTGCCAGCCTCCAAAGTAAGCTTTATAAAATTTCCACAGAAGATTTCCGTTGGTTCATACCTCAATATAAAAATCACCCAGAGTCTAAAGTAGTGTCCATCCTACAATGCTATGCCACTTGTACATTATAAAAAAATAAACAAACAAAACAAATCAATAGGCATGGATTGCCTATGTGACTTTTGACAGAAACATCAGAATCGGGTGTACTTATCACAAGAATGAATACGAATATGACAGATTGAGAACGAAATAAACAAATTTCTCTTTAATAATTCTCTACCTTGATAGAGACATGAATCATTGAGCACGGAATATACAACAATAATACTATTTTTATTATATTTTTGTACCATAATTGTATATCACTTTAAGTAGCATCTGATGTGGATAGCCACATCATCTAAATTAATTAACATTTAATTTCAAAATGTTAATCAATAATTAATAAAAAGATTGTTAATTAAATGATGATTCACTACTGCAATATTAGTTTTAGATGGCGAATATTAGAAAAATCATGTCGGATAAATTATATCCGACACAACATTTAATTAGTGGCGAATATTAGAAAAATCACGTCGGTTATATCCGACATAAAGTTCTGGCGAATATTTAGTGGCGGATATCAAAAAAATTATGTCGGTTATAACCGACACTATTTTTTAATCCTTTTTTTAAAATATTTTTGACAGATTCTGACGGTTTTTAAGTTAATGGTGGCGGTTTTAACCGACAGAAATTAACTATTTTATTATTTTACTTTCTGACGGTTATTATTTTAGTATGCTGGCGGTTATAACCGACAGAAATAAAAATTTTATTATTTTAAAATGTTATATTGATTAAAAATAAATAAATAAACACATATTTTAAATATATTTTTTTCACTCATGACCCTAAAGTATAATGAACCCAATTCTCACGTGTCATAAATTTTTTGAGAAAATAATAACAACAGACTACAATCTGAAGCTCTATTATTTTTGTAATAAGGATTATGCTCCCTCACAGGCAAGCAACAAGATAAAAACAAATTCAAACAATTGTTTTCAATGCGTCACAAAGCACATTGTCTGGCACATAAACACGCATGAACATTTAGTGTACTCTATCATGTCTGATTTTATTATTTTAAAATATTATATTGATTAAAAATAAATAAATAAACACATGTTTTAAAATTTTTTTTTTCACTCACAGTCCTGTCGGATATAACTGACACGAACAAAGCAAAATTTTGGACTGTCGCCAGAATAATCTCTGAATGTTTTTTTTTTTTTTTTGCGATTTTTTACACAAGTTATCTCAAATTATATACAAACACATTTGACGGTTGGATCGTAGAAACTAGTTTCGTATAATGCATATCCTATCAAATTGATAGATTTAACAAACATTTAAGAGTTAATGTTATACTTCAATTAAGTATAAAATAAGATTTATCCACTATTGTAAATATTTTAAATTGAAAATTGAATTCATTCATTGCATTCTTATAGGATCAAGGAGTGTAGCTACAAAAAATCATCAAAATCGGAGCTAAAATAACTGTTAAATTGTGATTTTTCATTTATAACCATTGAAAACTTTTGTTCGTTACCTAATCTCTGAATGTTTGTTTTTTGTGATTTTTTACGTATGCGATCTTGAAGTGTGTACAAACAAGTTTGACGGTTAAATCGTTGAAAAACATTTCGTATAATGCGTATCGAATCAAAATGGTAGATTAAACCAACACTTAGAATGTTATACTTCCCCATCAAGTATAAAATAAGATTTTGTGGTATCTACTAGTGTAAATGTTTTAAATTGAAGATCGAATTCATTCAATGCATTCTTATAGGGTCGAGGAGTGTAGCTGTAAAAAATATCAAAATCGGAGCTAAAATAACCGTTAAATTGTGATTTTTCGTTTATAACCGTTGAAAACTTTTGTTTTGTTACCTAATCTCTAAATGTTTGTTTTTTGTGATTTTTTACATATGTGATCTCAGAGTGTGTACAAATAAGTTTGACGGTTAGATCATTGAAAAAAGTTTCGTAGAATGTGTATCACGTCAATACAGTAGATTAAACAAACACTTAAGAGTTAATGTTATACTTCCATTAAGTATAAAATAAGATTTTGTGGTATCCACTAGTGTAAATTTTTTCAATTGAAGATCGAATTCATTCAATGCATTCTTATAGGATCGAGGAGTGTAGCTGTAAAAAATCATCAAAATCAGAGTTAAAATAACCGTTAAATTGTGATTTTTCGTTTATAACTGTTAAAAATTTTGTTCCGTTACATAATCTCTGAATGTTTGTTTTTTATAATTTTTTACGTATGCAATCTCGGAGTGTGTACAAATAAGTTTGACAGTTAGATCATTGAAAAAAGTTTCGTAGAATGCATATCGCGTCGAAATGGTAGATTAAACAAACACTTAAAGTTAATATTATACTTTTACTAAGTATAAAATAAGATTTTGTGGTATCCACTATTGTAAATATTTTAAATTGAAGATTAAATTCATTCATTGCATTCTTATAGGGTCGAAGAGTGTAGCTGTTAAAAAATCATCAAAACCGGAGCTAAAATAATCATTAAATTGTGATTTTTCGTTTACAACCGTTGAAAACTTTTGTTTCCGTTACCTAATCTCTGCATGTTTTTTATTTTTTTTGCGATTTTTTACGTATGTGATCTTGTATTATCTACAAACAAGTTTGATGGTTAAATCATGGAAACTAGTTTCGTAGAATGCATATCTATGTTAAATTTGCCTAAATTTTGAAGTGGGAAAAATAATTTGTGCTAAATTTTTATTTATGTTTTTCAAGTATTGATTAGACAATATTTAGTTTGTGTGATGACATTTTCATTGAACAATTATCTTTTTGTTTATTTATCGCATATTTCACATGAGTTATTATCTATTAAACCAAAGAATTATTTATTTAATTTTTAAAATGTATTCTATTTAAATGCATATTATTTATTTATTAACCTAAACAATTATTATTTTATTTTTTAAAATCGTAACAGATTTTTTTTTGGGGGGGGTGATTTTCAAAAGTTGGGTGGGAATTTAAAATTTTGGGAGGAAATTTTGGGGGGAATTTTGCTGTCATTTTTTTCTGTTGGTTATAATCGACAGTAATAAAAAATCTCTGTCGGTTTTTATTTAAAAAAAATGTTTCTATCGGTTTTAACCGACAGTAATGAAAATAAAATCCCTCCATCTCTTGAGTCGGTGCCCTTTCCCTTCCCCCTTACTTCCTCATTTTCTCCTCTCCTCATTTCCTCCTCATTTTTATATTTTTTGTTGAGCATTCTCCCTTCTCCTTTTAATTTACAAATAAGAGAAAAACCATAGCAATGCCGGCATCGAAGCGCACCCACGAGGCCATGGAAGATGATCCTCCACAAAACTACCGAGAAAACAGCCATGAAACGCCCCAAGACAAAGAGGGCAAGAACCCAAATCTTATCTCATCGATCAGGTACATGCAAATTTTTTTTTTTCTTCAAAATTTTGGTTTTGGGTATTTGAAGAAATGGGAAAGATGGGATTTTTGGAATGTGTGGTGACAGAGAGCAGCTGAAACACGCCCAACAGCGAGATATGGAGGTTGTTTTCGAGAAGAAAGACACTGCTGATTGGGCTTACAGAGGCGAAAAGGTTGCTAATCTTGTTCTCACTTACACCAGATCCTCCCCCACTTTTGTATGTTTCACTCTAACCTGAGCTTCAATCCTGTAGAAAATTTGTAATATGGTCGCATACAAACATTGTACACACACGTTTCTTCTTCCCCGTTACATGGTTTTTGATTTTTGCTTTCTCTGATTCTTTGTGCCGTTGTTTCATCTGTTCTTTCTCCTCCCTTTTGCTCCTCAGAGTCCGATCGAAGCCCGTTACAAAGCACTGAAGAGAAAGATGAGTGAGCCTCTTTTTTTTCTTCATTGTTTTTCTCGTTCCGTTGATTGTGTAAGTGTTTGATGTTTGAATGCTGTGTGTGATTTAGGATCTCCACGCTTTTCTTCGTTCTTCTATTTATGGAAGATGTGGGTTTTCTTTTCTGTTTTTTTGGAATGGATTGTTGTGTTTGTGTTGGGAAGAAGGTTGGTGGAGTTGAGTTTTGGATCTTTTGAATTCAAGCTTCAAATTCCATCGTTCAAGCATGTTGCCCAATCTGGTTTGTTCATTAACTGCAGATTCAGGTCATTTCGAGCAGAAGGGAAGAAGAATGCTCAACGAGAAGGAGAAGGGGGAATGCTTCCATGTCCTTTTTTGTATTTTTTTAATTATTAATCTATTTTCTGTCGGTTTTATCCGACAGAGAATGCTATTACTTATTATTAATATATTCCTGACACAATTTCTGTCGGTTTTATATATTTTCTGTCGGTTATATCCGACACAATTTCTGTCGGTTTTAAAGTATTTTCTGTCGAAAAATTAATTTCCTGACATTGACAATTCTGTCACTTATTATATCCGTCACTGCATTCATTTTCTATCCGATTTTGCTTAAAATCTGACAATAATATACTTTTTTTGTCGGTTTTTGGATCGCCAGTTATAGATAATTTTGTAGTAGTGATTATAGTATACGAGGAGTCTTCTTCTACCACCTAAGATTATTTAAGTGTTTTAATTAATAAAAAAATTGAAATTAAATGATGTAACTTGTTCGACTCATCTATCACCTAAGATGGTAAAGAAATGTGATATAAAATTGTGATAAGAATATCATTACTCAATATACAATATTTTTCTTTGTAAACAGACATGACCTAAACTTCTTCTACTACTAGAAATCAATAAAGCTCAAAGCCGCCATGGATATGAGGCTATGAGCAATATGCCAATGCACCACCCTCCACTAACGGACTTCTCTCTCTCTCTCTCTGCATGCGTGTTGAAAACTAATTTTTCTTTTTCCTTTTCTTACTCCAAAAGACCAAGACCAAATATTTATACATCTCTCGTTCCCTCTACTATTGGCTTCTCAATTCCCACTCCAAATTGCCCTTCTCAACAAAAGGACAGTTTTCTTTGCCTTCTTCTTTCCACTCCCCACAAAACAAACCCCCTCGTTCCTTCTGCCCTTCCTTAATTTATGTCGCCTTAATTTCCTCCTCCTCTCACACTCTATACATGTCACCCTTGCTCCTTCACACCTCTGCTTGTTAATACTCTCTCTCTCTCTCTCTCTCTCTCTCTCTCTCTCTCTCCAGACCTAGCTATATATATATATATTTAACATCTCTCTCACTAGCTAGCTGTGAAGAAAAATGGGCAACTGTTTGGTTCTCTCCAAGGAGGACAAAGTGCTGAGGGTTTTGAAGACAGATGGGAAGGTTTTAGAATTCAGGGCACCAACCCTAGTTAAGGACATTTTATCGAACTTTTCAGGCGTCGGTATTAGTTTATCAAAGCAAGCTTCGGAGCAGCTTTCTCCTGATTGCAAACTAAAGCTCGGGAAGGTTTACTATATGATTCCCCTTCCGGGTTCTGCAGAAAATGATAGTGCTGCTACAAGAAGGATTAAGATCGTCGTAACAAAGCAACAGCTTGAAGAGCTACTGACTAAGCAAATATCAGTGCAGGAGGCACTTTCAGCATCAGGACCTGAAAAGAAAGCTTCTTCTTCTTGTGTTGATTCTTCAAAAATTTGGAAACCGAAGCTCAAATCCATTCCCGAAGAAATCGAGTAAAGTAATTAGGGTTACGTTTCGGCGTATAAGCTTCGTAATCTATGGCTGATCATACACACTTTTGAGATCATACACACTTTTGAGTCAACATCGTTTTAGCTTTTCATCAGTCTAGCCTTTCTTGTAAAACACATAACGAATGAATGGCCAATAATATTTTCTAGTCATGCAGCATGATCTTTTGTGAACTTGTCAGGTAGGATTTAGTAAGCACCCGGCAGGACACATAATCTACGGTTAACAATTAATTAGTAAAAGTGTGTGCGTACTTTCTACACATTTTCGTAAACAATTCAAGTTTGAAATTTAGGTAATATCTGTTGAGAGTTATCCCACATTGATGAGAAACAATGTTTGTTACGTGCTTATATGATATTGGGTTACTTCCCATATTGCCAATTAATTTTATGATGGAACCTCAATTTCATCCTGGTATCAGAGCAAGGTTGTCCACGTGTGAAGCCCAATGGCTACACATGCTCCATGTCACCTAGTTGTTGTCCACGTGTAGGCTTGAAAATCCACCACACATGCGGAGTGTGTTGAGAGTTGTCCCACATTGGTGAGGAACAAGGTTTGCTATGTGCTTATATGATCTTGGGTTACTCCTCATATTGCCAATTAGTTTTATAATGAAATCTTAATTTCATCAATATCACAGAATTAATTCATGTTCTTTTTTTTTTTTTTTTTTTTGGCTCATCAAGTGTGAGTACTATTTTGGCCTTTCCCAAATATAAAGGTTAGATGGATTCATGTCCTTACCGATCTATCTAGAAGAGATTTTTCAACGTATCTAAATATAGGACCGTACCCATACGTTATTACGCAAATGAAGAAAAACTTATTTTTTTAAGCGTGCATCTATTTCTACGACAATATGTGCTCGTATTTAAGACACCTCTCCACATATAGGGTTTAACCGTTTAGGGTTCAAAAATGCATAGACTAGATTATACTGTAACAACTTGATAAGCGAATGTTAAATAAAAAATTCAGACGATTTGGACCTCGAGCTCCGATTTGGGTCAGTAAGCGGCCCAACTTGGGAATCAAGCCTGAATTTTGTTAGTTCCGAGCTTACGCCTGCCAAAGCTACTCTCGATCCATTAATTATGTCACCTGTATCAGTGGCTGATTTTCGATTTTATTTGGGATTTTAATACTACATATGTTAGAAACAACTTTGTACAATGCAACAAAGCACAAGTAAAGAGACCAAAACAACACACAAAATCAAAAGCCACAAGATCTAGTACGTACATGCTCGCATTCAAAACAGATGAGGTTTTTTTCACTGTATTGCAACATCAATAACCTTGCGTTCAACTTTGGTCTTAGGAATAGCTATGTAGAGAACACCATTCTTGAGCTCCGCCTTGATCTTGTCCTTCTTCGAATTATCCGGCAGCTGAAGCCGGGTATTGTAGGAGCTAAAGCTCCTGCTCGACCACGAATCGTCCCCGCCTTCTTCCTTCTTTTGCTCCCCCTTTATAACTAGCACATCGTCCTCAACCGACACCTTCACGTCCTCCTTCGAGAGCCCCGGCATGTCAAAGCGCATTTTGATTTCGTGTTCGTCGTCTTTGATGTCCCATGGCGCACGAACTTCCCCTGCTGCTTTGGTTCTGCCGGGGAATGCCACCGTGTCTCCGAAAAGCCGGTCCACTGTGTCCAGCATTTGCCGCATTGTTCTCACTGGGGCGAGGGGATCCAATAGACCTGCAAATTAATTTGTACCATTTTCGTTGATTATAGCTAAGCAATATTTGATCGCTTTGGTTTTTAAGTATCAACTTCTGGAACTAGAAATCACAATCATGTGAACAAATGAGATAAAAGCTGAAGAAATTTAATAAAGAACAAACTCGGGGTCAAAAGACAAAACGTCATATACATAGAATTTGTGTGGCTATAAACGTAGAGATGTGACATTTAAAAACAAATAAGAATTTAGAAATTCATGTCAATTTTACTGAACATCCGTAATAAGTTTTGTTAATTACAATGATGTTGACACATTACGGTATATTAATATTTCGTAAGGTCGTTTGTTTTACAGCCGGATTAAGGTTCATCTTAGGACTTTCCTTTGTTACCCTCTGTTCAAAAAAGTCAAATTTGAGAGTGTTAGACTTACCAAAAGGAGAAATGTCCACAGCCGAACTCATTGGCCTCCTCTCCACATCAGTCCCTTGGTTGCCCTGATTGACTTGCACGTCCAACTTGTCTCCACCGGCCTGAGCTCTCACCACTGGCAGCCTATTCTGACGCGTTGGAAAGGTGGCGGATGACGGCAGAATGGCGTTTGCTTTGATTGAAGACCTTGCTTTGTTTGACAACAAAGGTGACGAAGAAGACAAAGCCAATGCTGAAGCCATAGTTACTATTAACAACACAGAAAGTTGTGCACACGGAAAAAATGTACGAAATCACACACTTAGTAAGCTTATCTTTATTGGGAAATTACAACTTTGAGATTTCTTGTTGAGGTAGGGAGTTATCATTGTGCATAATATATATAGGTAATGGGATCGTGGGAAGAAAACTTGGAGAAGGGTCTTGAACGTTTGAGAGAGAGAGAGAGTTTTCTGGACCTAACACTTGTAAATATAACATTTTTCTCGTCTGTCTGGAAAGATCCATTTTCATAGAATGTGATTTTGTGATTAGACACTTGTGGTTTTAAGACATAGAAATGCTAAGAGGATTTTTTAAAAAAAAGAAAATTAATGAAAAATGTTTAAAACTTTGAGTTTTAACGATGAGTACAAAAGAAAGGTTAAAGTGAATAGTATCAGATTTGACTTTTTAGTGTAAAAATATGATTTTTTGTTAAAGTGAATAGTATCACGGATTTTTTGTTAAAACTCTCCTTTAAAAAGTGAGATTATTTACGATCTATTCGTAACTTCATGCTTTTTGTATAATGTTTTATACTGTTAGCACGATATTGATGTTAAGTGACGGAAAACACATAAAAAATTATATTTTTGAGATAACTTTCTTAGTATTTCTCAGATATTTTCAAATGAACCCTCGTTTTGTAGTGTGTTCTTTTTCAGTACAAGGTTTTACCACCTTCCCTACAAATCCATCTGTCTTTTTGCTCCTTGTCGCTTAACCTATGTGTCGGCAAGATAATAGAACATCCCCGATTAAAGAAAAGTGTAAGTGGCAACTCTCTAAGCAGGAAGGAGAAGAAAGTTCACGCCGCTCTAGCGATAAGATGTCTATATTTTAAATTGATTATACACTTTTTACATAGACTTATGCGAGAACATTAAAGCATTGGACAATGTGTAGGTTCTAATTATTTTATTGATGTTTAAATAGGTGACCAACTGATGACTTAACCGTGGCACTTCATCATTTTCGAAGGTCAGAAAGGCTTATAATAAACATTTCAGTTTCTTTTTACCAACATCATATGGTTCTTTAGCACTAGGAATAAACGGATGTGCCATGTAAAATTCATCGAGTGGTTTGTTGGTTCCAATTATTTGGAAAATGATCATTGCCGGATCTTTTTCTAGGGATTCCGTGATCTCACTCATTCATCATACATCATGCAATCAGAAATCATTTTAAAATTTAAAATTTAATATGAATAGTATCTAATAAAAACTGACCGTACAATATACGATAAACGAATAAGATCATGAGATCCCTATAATCCTTAGGTTGAGGATCCTTTTCCCAATTATTTGACAAAGTTAATTAGACATTAGAGGCATGCTTGATTTGTTTAGAGTAGCTATTTGCCAAAGTTAAATAGGCATTATGATCCCCTTTCAACATGACATAATCATTCACGGGCTAGCAAATAGCAATAGGAGCTGCTCTGAGTCATTAGACCACCTGGAGGTCCTGTGGATAATTCGGGTCCCATTTTCAAGTGATGCAGAGTTTTTACTTTTTTGGCTAGAAATTTTTTCTTTAAAATTTTTAATTTTTGATTCCCGCAAATAGGATGCCACTGGCCATTGTTTGTTGTTTCTCGTTCGTGATGTTTGTGGAAGGACTGTTCTCCAGCAACTGACTTTAAATATTCACCTACCCTTAAACACACAGAAAGAAAGGAGACAGAGAGACCAGAGAATCCGAGAAACCGAGAAACTTTGACTGTTCTACTGAAAGAATGAAGATTTGTTTTTTGGATTTTTTTTGTGAGATTTTTAAGATTTTCATATCACGTCTATTCATCGTATATTGTGTTGTCAGAAATTATTTTATATATTTTTATTTAAAATTAAACATGAACATTACTTGACGCATTATTTAAGGATTCCAGAAATCCTCACAAAAAGAATCTGAAGAGGATCCTCATCCCTACTGAAATACCACTATTTTTTCTTACTTTAATGATTGCATGGTTAATCACATTTTATATTTCTAACTTCCAATAATCTTGCACTTCTGTAGGCTTGCAGCATCTATCCTAACACACACGATCTCATGGCATCACATGATCTGTTCGAGAAATTTTGGTTATGCTGTTTGATTAAGGCAATTTTCATATTGGTTTGAGATCAATATGAAGTCAAAAGTGGGGATCAAATCACATGATGTCTCATATTTTTGTAAAAATTATAGGAAAACTAATAAAAAAGATTTGAAAACTTTGAGCTTTAACGATAAAGATAAAATAAAAGGTAAAATGAATAGCATCAGATTTGACTTTTTAGTTTAAAAATGTGATTTTTCGTTAAAATAAACAGTACTGTGAGCTTTTCGTTAAAATTCCTAAAAATTATCTTATAAATGACGTAGTCCGAATTCTTCTACACAAGTTTTCCTTTTGATTAAGGAAGATTCACTTACACTTTTGAAGGTTTGGGACACCATAACTCTAACGTCTATGTTTCATACAAAATCCGCTCCTAGTTTATGATACAATTCTTTCATGACTCATTGAGTTGTTGATGAAAAACATAAAAATAAAAAAAGCAAAAGGTAAAAGCCCTCCTGCCCATCTTTACTTCAGCTTTCTGCAGTATCGAGAGTACATACTCTTTCATGTTGCCTCCAAACTCTCTCTCTGACACAGTGCCCCATTAAATTCCCCCATGCCACAAGAAAACACCGTTCCCTTTGTCATTATATACTGCAACATAATGTTAACGTTGCACTTACATGTATATACACATACATACATACATACATACATACATACAGACAAGGCCTGCACTGCAGCTGCTGCTCCTCTCCTAAATGCATGAACTAGCAGAAGCATAATAACCCCACTCGCAGAGCACATAGTTTGTTCTCTCTTCCTCTCTCATTAATTACATCTGTGCTTCTGAAGGTAAGGCATTTATTTTAAACATACCAACTTCTCAAACAGGAAGCTCCTATAAAGAAATTCCCATGCTTCATTATTTCATCACCTGGTTTTACTATTATTGCTGTTTCTGAGTTTTTACTGGTCAGCATTTTCATGGGGAAGACTGGAGGGAGCTCCTGGTTGACCGCGGTCAAAAGGGTTTTCAGGTCTCCTACCAAGACTGACAGAAGCAACACTAGGAGGAGAGAAGAACTGCAGGAACAAGTGGAAGAAGAAAAGGTAGGGTTTATATGCAATCCAGAGTGATGATTTTCGCACTCTCGTTTTCTCTCTCTGCATAAATGGAAGGACAATGAGGGGCGGAAAGAGAAGTAGCGCAGAAGAAAAAAAGGGGAGTGTGAAAATCACTACAGCGAAAAATGTGTTTTTGTTTAATTTTTACGTATGCAGAAACCAGAAAAGTTGCTTAGTTGGAGTTCCCATTTTCTTTCTACTTTGAGATCTGTGACTTGAGTGGTTTTTGAGTTTTGGGTTTTGTTTTTGCAGAAGAAAGGAAAACGGAGATGGATTTTTGGGAAGCCTACGATCCAAGAAACGTTTATACAAGTACAACATAGTGACAGTCCAAGATCTGCTGCTGATGGCGGAGCAGCCACTCAAAATGCAACTATGGCAGCTCATGATGAGGCCCGTGATGCTCCCAGAATGGCGGTGGCCCCGACAGCAGCTGCTCAGGCAGCAGTTGCCACAGTGCAAATGGCGGTCAAAGCTGTTCGTCTTACTAAGTCTAACTGCAGGCCTTCCATTTTCGTTAGAGACTATGCTGCAATTGTTATTCAGACTGCCTTCAGAGGATGTCTGGTACTTAATCATAATTAGTCAATAATTAATTAAGTTTTTCCCTCCCGTAATTTAGAGTAGTTTAAAATGCCGCATTGTCACAAATAACTTGGTAGCTAGCTGGTGCATGTGAGTATTAACTAATTTGATTTGGTTTTGAAGGCTCGAAGAGCTCTTCGGGCGCTGAAGGGGCTGGTGAAGCTTCAAGCACTGGTGAGAGGCCACAATGTTAGAAAGAGGGCAAAGATGACTCTGCAATGCATGCAGGCTCTGGTTCGAGTGCAAGATCGGGTTCTTGACCAACGAACGAAGAGGCTTTCGCATGAAGGCAGTGCAGATTCCATTTTCAGTGATCCCGATGGCTTATGGAGATCCATAGTAAGATATTAACTAATTTTTATGTCAGGCGTCAATGCAGTCGAAAAATTAGATTGTATACAACTAGTGATACTACAGATTTGCTGTGAATGAACCAATTGTACCGTATGTAATGCAGTCAAAAGACGAAGAGAGTTGCGCCTTGGATGATCTGATCCATTGGGACAATTTGAAACCGAAAACATTGGAGCAGATTCAAGCCATGTTACAGAAAACCAAGCAAGCTGCCTTGAAGCGTGAAAGGAGTACCAGCCTTGCTTATGCCTTCTCTAGCCAGGTCTTTGATCCCACCACAGTTTTCTGCCTTATTAATTTTTACAATGTAATCAGCTCATAATTTGTACTAAATTGTGTGTATGGTCTCATAAAAATTAAGAAATTGAGCAGTGGTGGTAGCGGTGACGAAGATGCTGGTGAGCATGAGGAGCTAGAGGAGAAATTTAATTTGCTTGATGGTTGGACAAGAAGAAGGCAACGTGAGATCAATGCAGGCAGAGCTTCATGTGATCAAAGAGATCCCATCAAAACCGTTGAAATCGACACTTCTCGACCTTACTCTTATTCGAGTGCCCCGAATTCCAATTTCAGAATCAAAAGATCAGATCAATATAATTATCAGAGCCATCATCTGCAGTATAATTATCGACAGCAAAGAGTTCCTCAGTCATATCCAGTTGCCTCTCCTCAATCACCCGTCACGCCATTTACTTCCATGGCAAGAAATCTACAAGTGCACTCGGCTAGTCCTCGTTGCCTTCGGGAAGATCAGAGGATTAACCACCCAATGCCACCACCTCACACTCCCAACTTGAACTTAGGCTCAACTAATTACAACCATGGATTGATGGGGGTGCCAAACTACATGGCTGCTACAGCATCAGCCAAGGCTCGGATTCGGTCTCAAAGTGCACCAAGGCAAAGGCATTCAGCAAGCGAGATGGAAAAGCCAGGATCCGCGAGGAAACGCTTGTTGTTTCCAGCTCCTCATCCATGTGGTGATAGCAGTGCTAATGCTAATGTTAATGGTGGTTCAGATTATAACTTGGGGAGCCCTAGATATAACAACGGCATCAAGGGAGGCCTTGTAGTTCGAATGCCGCAGAGGCCTAGCGTGTCTTCTTGTTATACAGATGGTGAAACCTCTCCAACTTCCAGCAGCGAGCTCAGAAGGTACTGGTTGAGGTAATCAAGCAGAAGTGTGTAACTGGCAAATTTGACACATGATTAGGTACTGGTGGTTAATCTGCTAACTCAACTTCAAATGCACAATATGTGATTAGAGGAGCAATTAACTTAGCTTTTAAGCTTTCGCTGGATGCTTTTATTCAATATATAAATCTCGTTTAATATCCGAGAATTGTGGGACTATAAGCCATTGGTGCATTTTGCTCCCAACAAAGCAGCAACGGCTCACTATCTCTCTTATTGGGCACATAAGCAACTGATGCTAGCATAGTCTCTGCAGAGAGAGAGCAAATCATGCTCTCTAAATCGATGCAGCCGGATACTGAACAAAGTTGATGACTTCATTTTTTATCGTCTTTCTGCTAAAAATAGCATGAACTGAACAATGCATCAGCAGCAACCACGAGCTGATGGCTCAATGGTAAATGATAGATTACGAGGCTTCCTTAAAATTAAAAACTGGAGGTCTCGGGTTTGAAACCCGCTGCTGGTGTGAAAGCCAGACTTGTGGCCAGGGGAGGCTGAAATGCCTCTATGAGTCTTCCTAACCCCTGAAAGGGGTGGATAACCGAGATTTGCCACCAGTTGTCTTCCTTTTAAATTAAAAAAAAAAAAAAAAAAAAAAAAAGGCATCAGCAGTGTCTTATAGTATACAACTCGAGATATTTCCCCGACAACCCGCAGATGGTGATCACATCATCTGCATTATGTGTGCGAACTTTTTCAAGAACTGAATCACAAAGATGATCCCTTCATCCGAAACAAACAAATCAAGCAACGGCAATGCACATCCAAAAACGTTTGGCTCCTCCTTGCAGCCAAATCGTAACTTCAAACTTTACATTTTGCAGTTATATCAGAGATTTTGTGTATCTGGTTAGATTGCCACTTGTAGTTACGGAGAAATAACTCTTTACACAAAAGGAGCCGATAGTGTTCATACGCACATCACTCTCAAGTAATTTCAACTCTCTTTAAAATCTTGCAAATGATACGAATTTGAAATCATTCTACCCAACAAGTCAGAGCAGACGAATCTCACATAAATCAGTCAAAGTAGGTACATAGATCCATAAATATGTATGGGCGGAACCTGAGAGAAACTTCGGTAGAGTTGTCTGTAACATCATATTTTTTGCAATCAACTCCATTCGCAGGGAAGTTTATGACCATGAAACACGGCAAACACAAAATACTCGATGAAACAAATTTATATCCGAAAGTAAAATAACCTCTCGTCGATGCATAGTATCTCTCAGAGCTACTGACAGTTTTCATCTGATAAAAATACAAACTACTCGATTCCTGTAGTAACAGTAGAAGTCAGTTATGTCATTATTATTCTTTGTAAGGGTGGAGAAACGACAGAGAAACCACCCGCATAATTCGAAGAAACAAAAAAGATGTTTGGAGTCACAAGAGAGTTGCAGGTAGCATTCTCAAGGCATCTACTCGGATGCTTCTGCAGGTTGTGGAGCTTCCGTTGGCTTTAAACTTTCAAGAGCTGAAATTCTTCTATCCAATGATTCATGAGGCCTTTCACCTGGAGAAACAAGGGAAAAAATTCACATCTCATCTATCCTTTTCTTGCTATTTAAATGCCTAGAAATTATTACACACAAAAATGGTTGTAAAACTGCACGAAACTAAAAGGCCAGTAATAGTGGCGATCCATCTTGTAAACAGAGATCATTCAACGCAGAATCATGTAAATGAAAAAACAAAATAGCATATCTCGGGCAAAAGCCAGATTTTCCGGGGTTCCACCAGAATTTCTTCTACTACCGACATAATTAGCACTACGTCAGAAATGCTTCTTAGGAGGTAGGTTTCTCAAAATATGAGTCGGCAAAGTGAATAGAAACTTATAGTTTACAAGTGTGAGTATGTGGGTGCACGCATGAGTAAACAGTTTTAAAGCACAGATTGCTTTACCGACAATTCCAGCAACATCGTGTTATGAGCAAAATTTATTTTCCCATGTCAACATAACAAACTGTTCAAATCAAGGTTTCTTTTCTTGTTCTTAATAGTAAAAGAAAACCTTATTTCACACCAGGAGGATTCATACACGATTCAATTTGGAGATGCGTTCGCATAGCCTATAAGAATATACACATAACCCTAATCGGTTGAAAAGATCGAGTAGGGTACCCGCTAAAATCAATATAAATGAATACAAGTAGACAATCAATGTATAACTGATTTCTCTAAAGAGAACCCATCAAAGCTCACAACTAACCGGTAGAAAACAAGGATCCTAAACACGATGCAAAGAAGGAAAACATTCGAATTACCCGAAAAGAATTAGGAAAAGGAATAAAGCATTGCTGGTTTTGATTCATCCACGACCAATACTGATTATCATCGGTGTAACATAATTGATCTTCATCGTCATCTTACCAACATTATGTTTCCAATTTTCCACCGTCGAAGAACAAAACTTAAACTACTAAAAACGAACACCGAAACCGCCAAATAAATGTCACCAACGCCCTCAAGAATTTCAAACCCCTCACTCCTCCTAAACAACCGAAATTGACTTACTCAGCAGCAATTCATGACATTGACCAGAACAATTATGCATTAATTCAAATAATAATTAACTAAAATGCTCATAAATCACTTCTGCAAGTTCCGTTTTTAACTTTTAATATTCAATTTTTCAGCTCAAAAGGAGGAGGATTTTCCCTTAATATCACAGAAAACAACAAATCGTGTCCAACCCCATTTCCCCAATCAACTCAAGATTCAACCTTCCGTCATCACGCGAAGATGGGAAGGTTCCCAAATCAACAAATTGAACAAAACCCAAAGAAAACAGAAGAAGAAGAAAAGATAGAACCCTAAGAATTGCAGAAAGGAAAACGGACCTGTTGAGAAATAGAGTGGTGGGCGACCTTGTAATCGTTGTGGAGGATGTAGAGACCCAGAAACGACGCCACCGCAGCTCCGCCGAAAAACGACGCCATTCTCACTCTCAGAACGTAACCCATCTTTCTTCTTCTCCTTCCCCTTTCCTTCTTCCTTTCGCTTTTCAAAATTGATTTCCGATCGACAATATTTAGCCCTCGACTAAAGCGACGCCGTTCCAACCTACCCACCTTGTAGCATAAAACGAACCGTTTTGAAGTAGCATGATTTTCCAAATTTTGAATGTTTTCTTCGAAATTTAGTTTGGGCATATTTGGACACAAAACAGAGAATTTGAACTTGAGTGTATAAAACATTAGGGTTTGTTCATTAACGTTTTTCAAAACAGTTTTTCGTTTTGCATAAAATTAAATTACCAATCATTCTCAAATCATAAAAATGCAAAATTCTATTTTTTGTTTACAAAACAATTCCTCAAAAATCATTTTACGAACATGCCCCCATTTGGCTACTTAGTACTACAATATAACTGTATTTATCCTCACTACGTAAGTAAGAGATCTTAAACTCAAATCTCATAAATAGTAAATTCGAAATCAAATTGTCCCCCAACCCCAAGTGTAAATACTAAATACCATAACATCAAAAATTCTGGCCCAGTCGATATTTGCAACTAACTTGTTCCAATAAATATGACATTAATATTTTTATGCTAAAAGAAAATTATGATTTAGAATCTACCTGACGGAAAATTCAAACTGGAGTGCAAGAGGCGGACAAACTGCGGTATAGCAAGAAGCACAAACGAAACAAAGTGGGCTGGGCTTCCAACACATAGAAACCCAGTTAGGTTTTTCTCAGCCCAATAAAGTAAAAATAAGGAAAGAGAAATAAATTAATGTTTAATAAAAATGTTTAAAGGATCCATCATTTCATCCAACAACAAAACGGGCAGACTTTTCATCCAGATGCGCACAGAAGCAATTTTGTGCATGAATATCATCATCACCTGCACTGCAGAGACATTTTGAGTTTGCAGTCTTTTGACTCTTTTCAGTATTATCATCAAACAGTCACAACCTAAAGCTTTTGAAGAACCGAAAAAACAAGAAACCGAAAAAAGGGCAAACATTTCCAGTCAGAAAATTCCATGAAGTGAGCTGCAAAGATTGATGGTCTGATTCAATCTATGATGAATATGTATTCTCCCGCGTATCCTGTTGCCGTCCCAAAATAATCTTCCGTCCACGCTCTGGTCCACAAATTCCAGACATAAGGTGGCGCGATTCCCTGCTCTCTCCTGCCAAACACCAAACATGTTTAAGCTGCATTGCTATAGGGAAGAGTAAATTTCAAATTTGCATCATCCTCGCAAGCACTATCATAATCACGTTTAATCAGTTAGGACATTTTCGGTACGGGGGTTTGAACTTTGAACTTAACTACCAAGTAAACCTATTTATGAGCAAAGCCACCCTTATGAAGTGGATTGCTGAGCCTTCAATGGAAACGGTTAAACAAAAATATAGATAACAAAAGCAATGCTTAAGAATAGTAGTTTATACCGAAAACGCAACGGTACATATCTTTAAAGCCACTAGCATAAGATTATAAGATGTGGCCCCCACACACGCCGGTAGCCTCAGATAATAGTGATCAACAATATGTACATAATGACTCATACTACACTCTCTTATATCCGAACTGAAAACCCTTTATGTTAAGGAAACCAGGAGCATACTAATACTGATCCACCAATTAATTGACAGCTCAGAAAACTCAACCACCGGTAGACAAGATCAAACAAATGAAACATACAAATTCCACAAGATTATATCACGAAGCAGTAATACTTTAACTATTCGAGTAATTGTACTTACTATCTTCTGGAGGTAAATGCAGCAGCATTGGTCATCCTGTCAAAGTAACACATCTAATAAGTTACACGGTAATAAAGCAATAGCCATAACTACTTAATTCATCACAATAAAAAAACTGCAGCGTGTTCAATGGGTTAAAAAGGTACACCTGCCATGTTTCCCAACAGCATTTGAGCTCAGCCGGCCATTAGGCAAGCCTGAGCTTTGGGTACTGTTCATGCTTGATCTATCCATAAGTGCTCCATTTCCACCATTCATAAGTACAGATGACTGGCTTGGCCTAGTGTCAGGGCCATTCGATTCCCAAGAATCATTAGATTTGCTCAAAATCTTTACATTTGAGAAACCTCCAGGAATGCCAAAGCTTAACCCATTTAATTGCTGATTCTGCTTAACAGACTGCAAGTGATTATCATTTGCATTTAAAGTTGATATCTTCCTTGAGCGGTGAGTCTGTGCCACTGGAGTAATAGCCACGGAAGGCAAAGATGAAGAGTAGGGAGATGATGCAGCTGCAGCAGCAGCAACTTTTGCAACAGCAGCTGTAGCTGCTATCATCTCTTGCGCTCCTTCACGAAGCTGAATGTAGTCGCCCTCAATCACAAATAACTGAAAAACAAAAATTAAGGTCCTTATGAGATAATATCCATCTATGCAAAAACAGACATTTTAAATCATACTCACTTCATGGTGACCAGCCACAAAGTCATCAAGCTTTCCGAACTTTTTCTTGTAATCATGCCAGTGTAAGGGTGCAAGCATCTTTCCTAGCCTATTCGGTAGCTGTACTCAGACCAAAGAACATATATTATGAACTAATCAGTTGCCGACAAGAAAGGGTTTTAGATAAGTTGCGGAGAAAATAAAAATGTCATGCTAACTACAAAGACCTAGTAGAAAATAGGTAGGCTCACCGTTGAACTGATACGAATTCTACCACCTGCCGGAATTGTGCGAACCATGCAAGCCAACAATGACCTTTCATCAAGAAGTGCAATTTCCGAAGTCTGTCCCCCTGCCGCATTTGCATGCCCAGTTGAGACAAATGCTTCGGGCAGAACTGAACTAGTGGCATTTTCAATTGCAGTTTCCTTCATATTGACTGAAGGAATTGAATTATCAGATTTTAACGAATTGGTAGTAGAACTTGGTTGTTCTGCAGTTAAAACTTGTCCATCCAACCCATGATCAGTCGAGGTCTGAACATTTTGCTCCGGTACCTGTTCAAAAGCAAGTTAGTCTGAACTTCTTCCCTAGTTACCATCTGCACTATAACCAGACAGGCTGGCTGACCACAAAGCTCCAGCCAGTATAGGGACATACCAAAAACAAAAGAAGCTTATCTACCTTGGTTTCACTGTTCTGTTCAAGAGATTCCAATCTTAAAGCATTGCGGAACTGGGAGGAAATTTGTTGCAAGCTCTGATCAGGTTGGGATGAGACCAAATAACCTCTATCAATTGACTCAATAACCTGGACCAAAATAATTTCGGTGAATCCAGTGAAATTGCACACAACATAAAATAACACTACGTAATCATCATATACAAGGCAATACCTGTGCTTCCCCAGTAGATGATGACAAGACAGAATCAGGCTGTGCCCCTTGGTTAATTTGAGCATCCAAATAGTCTTGTTGAAGAAATTGCCCATTACCAGATGTTTCATAGTTATAATTTGCATCTGGTCTTATTAAGTTTGGATCATTTTGTGATGATGGAAGCTCATTCTGTGTAGATATCTGCAAACCCTCAGACGGAGCCTTAAAAGAGAAAATAAAGAATATAAGTCTGTTATCGTTGTAGATTAAAATAATCAGGACAGAAAAGATGTATTCCTCTGAGCACCTGTTGGTTTTGCCACTGTTGGAGAGATGATATTGCAGGTATCGAGTGAAAATGACCAACATGAGATTGAGGAACATGTGGTGGGACAGAATGGGGCACCCCTTGTTGATGCATAAGAAATGGATGTAGAGCAGTCACTTGTCCAGGGGGAAGATAGGAAGGCATCCCAAGTAGAGATGATGGTGAAATTGGAACCCCAGCAACATGGTCGATCTAATAACGATCCAAAACTTAATGTTATGGAAATAATATAAAAAATAGCTAATTCAAATTCCTACTTGCGATTTTTTTTCAAAAAGAGGATCTTAGCCAAAAAGCAATAAAAGTTCCAAAGCTACTAACAGGAGAACAACAAAAGCATGCCGCTACCTGAGTTGATGCGTTTCCAGTTGAAGCAAATGATGAAACATCGTCTGAATTCCCATTTTGGAGGGGCCCTGTATTTCCATTTGATGTATTCATATCTAGCTGGTTTCCGTTGTTCTGACCAAATTGAGATGCATCCTTTGAATTTGATTGTGTCAATCGTGACTCATCAGTGTAAGCTCCACTCCTTTCTCTTGCATCAGCCAGCTCAAGTTGTAGCTGTTGTACTGTATGCATATGATGTCTCTCCATCTCAGCAAACTGAAATCAGTGAGCCAAAAAGGAAAATATCAAAGACGTGAGCAAACTTTGAAGAAAACAAAAACAGTGTTTAATTAAGTATAGCACCAACATCACATATGATTTGACATAAGTTTTGGAAAAATTCGGCATATAGACAAACAGACAATTTGCGGATGCCCATGTCTGAACGTTCCCGCAAGTTTCAAATTTTCAAGAAAAGAAAATACCCTGGAAATGTGACAGAGAAAGAACAAGTAAACCAACCTGTCTTTGGCAACCAAGCCAGAGTTGATTATATTGTTCTGTACGTTCCCGCAATTCAGCTTGGATTGTAGTTGACTGCAAGGCATCCATTTCCTGAACACGGGTGATCCAAGCTTGGGCCTCCCTCAACCGTTCATCCTTAAAATGGATGGCTTCTTGAGCAAGCCTATGCTGAAAATATAAACACTATCAGGCACAGGCTGCACTCACATTGCATCTCTAGATCTAAATTAGCATGAAACTTGCAGAATATTAACCAAATTTGTTCCAATTTGAATGTCACTTATATTTCAGAGTCTGACCATTTAAAACAACAGCACAGTAGACTTCGTTCATTCAGAGAATGAAAAATAGTAGAAAAGCACCTCGTATGAAACTATGCATATTCTAAATATATGTACCATTAAGATGTGTTAAAACTTGAGTTGCTAACTTCTACTTCAGTATGGCTATACAAGTGCATCAGATAAATCAACAGACCTGTTCCCGCAGATCATTAAGCTGCCTCTCTTTTTCTTGAATATGCTCTTGGAGGTCATGTAGTTGTTGTATGTGCTGGGTTCTTTCAGCTTCCGAATGGTCACGTTCCCTTCTGCAATAAACAGTAACCCATTAGCATGCAATGGTAAAAGACAAGAGCTCGATTTACATCTAAACAAAAAGTAAGAGCATTCTTGGAAAAGAGCTTAGAAGTGCAGTGAGCAGGTCTTCAACGAATAGACCAGTACCTGATATTTGCTAATTCTTTGTTCTGTTCTCTAAGAAGGTCTTCTTTAGCCCAGGCCTGCCAAAAGATTATGAAAATCAAAATATTAAGAATTTGCAAATTATTCACTCAAACAGCTCAATTAAAACATATAAAATACACAAGCATTCAATTTACCGCTTCATTATCTAGTTTGATAGCATGCAGCTCTCTATCTTTCTCGTCCATTTTCCTTTCCAAATCATGTATGGTCTGCTCCCTTTCATGGAGTTGCTCCTGCACAGTATATAAACCCACAGTTGGTATCTAATTTCACGCATATATCTCAAGGAAATCATCTAACAATCAAATATGCCCACAGATTGGCTGATAACTTTTGAGCTTAAGATTCCACATATGCACACCAAATGTGGAATGTGCATGTGAGATTGCAAATCAGAACAAGCATGCTAACTTCGATATTTGTTACGTCTCATGAGATTCATGTAATTGCAATATAAAAAAACCCTATCATCATCATACACATTACAAATTACATATCCTATTATCAATCAAAACCTGAAGCTTGGAAGCAGCATTGGCATGTTCCTTTATTTGAGCATCAAAGTTATGTTGTATTTCCATTATCTCGGATCTTGCAATGATTTGAGCTTTAAGATCAATCTCCATATGCTGTAGTTCCTCTCTTTGTCTAGAAATGTCTTCAATCCGCTGTTGCAGAAGGCCATGATCTAAAGTCCCATCTACTGTGATCGAACAGAAGTCCACATCAACTGGCTCTCTCCCTTGCTGCACCTTGATAAACAACAAATCATATTCACTTTCGTTCAATCCTTTAGAATACAAGCTAATACTAATATCAACATCCTTACCTCATATATTGTTCTCTCATCTGATTGGCCTAGCTTTGATCGTTCCAACTCCTGCATATTGGAATAGGCCCGTTCAAGAACAAGATAAAGGAAAAGCAGCAAATACAAATGATAAACAAGTAGCACTAAATACTTTAAACAAACCAAGGAGCAAAATTTTAAAGTACCACATCTTAATCAGCTAACAGCGATGCTCACTGAAGAACCTTAGCCAATGCTAAAACTTAAGTTATCCTTTTTTTCCATGAAGTTCTTCATTTCGAGCAAATAAAGGCAATAAACTCACACTACTAGTCCTAAGAATTTTGTAAGGAGCATTATTACTGGCAGTACACTGAACTTTATATATCCAATTCCCGATCATTCAAACAAAATACGAGTCGTGAAATTTCCTTCATTTTACCCATCGGTTATTTTTACCAAACGAGAGACATGGTTACTTCATTCAAAATATATCCATATTCACCAAACAATTCCCCTTCAAGTTTATTTATAACAATCTTCTAATGTCAAAGTGTGAGAGCAGCAACCACATTTCCCACCAACCCACGAACACCAAACCCAAAAACTTAAACCACACTATAAATTAAATAAGAAAAACGAAGTGAACAAAAACCACAAATAAATCAACGAATCCTCACCCAATTAAAAATGGTTTCGCATACTTAATCCCAAACAAATAAAACGAGAAACATAACATGCAATTTACAAACCCTAATCATATTTTTAGTTTTAACTGAAGGGTTTTTCACAATCCAAACCCAATTTAAAAACCCACTGTTCTAAATTCCATTTCTTTTCTCTTTTAGCATTAATTACACACCCAATAGAACCCAATGCAAGTGCTTTTGAGCAAATTACTACCTCATCCCCGATGTTTCGAGCCGAATGATGGTCCGAGACGGCGCGCCACTCTTTGCGGGATGGCGGAGGTGGCATCGGCATCGAACTACCGAGCGCAGCGGCCGCAGCCTCCATTGAATCAGAAGCTACGGTACTACTCAAACTCGCTTACTCACTCAGCTCAGGAAAAAAAAAAAGGGAAAAAAAAAACCTAGGGTTCGAGAGGCTCAAAGAAAAGGGGGAAATGTAAAACCTTGGAATTGCAGGGATTTTCGAGACGAGAGAGACCGGCAATGGAGTTACTCCACCAGAGCGATAGAGAAGGGGAAGCACCTGGACGATTTGGAGTGTTTTGCGATTGGAGGGTTTTGGAGGGGTTGATATGTAATTTGAGAAGAGTTGACGACGGAGAGAGAAATTTACAAGCAGGTCAGGCTCCCGCCATTTATAGGGCAAACTTCACTACCATCGCATGATTGCCAACGCTTTCCAGTGGCGCGTGGCGATACACCTTTACTTCTTTAGATTTGTTTTTTAATTGAGATATTTATATAGGGTTTTATCGCTTATAACTCGACGCGAAATAAAGATACCATGTCAACTCGTTAACATTCGAGTTGATATCAGATCACTGTTAAAAACTCGTTAAATGTGAAGAACTAAAAAATATAAGAAAATTTGAAACGAGTGCAAACGTCAAGCTTGATGCCATAAAACAAACTTCCGGGATCCATTACAATTTTTTTTTTTAAATACAGGCAATTTAAAGAAAACAAATTAGAAATGCAAACAATCTTATGGCTTGTTTAGTACTATTTTTCTTGAAATACTTAATGCTCATACGCACTTTTATAATTTCGAATTACAAATCTTTTATACCAATAGTCAGAAAGTACTTTTATAATCGTACCAATAGTTAATAACATTGTATGTTAGACTATTAAGTCATCAAAACTGGATTGAGATTCACTCCTGATCTCTGTGTTTGAAACCCGCGGACCAAGAGATCTGAATCACTAAATTTCAGTCACACAACCTCATTAGCCCATTCTACTGCCCAACTTCACAAGAATCCAAAAACTTAACATCCCAGATTCCTTTCTCTATCTCTTGAAGTACCCAAATCTCTTCAGTCTGCAAGCTTCAGATACAGAAATCCGGAGTAGATCTCATTTCATCAAAACTTCATCATTGGCTGATGGGGTTTTTTTATTTTTTTATTTTTTTATTTTGAACAGTCATTGGGTGATGTTATATATTATTGTTGTGGTAGAACGATGGCTTTTCCGATCATACGCAAAGCCCAAGTGGCGGCCCAATATTATTGGGGAGGAGATTTTGGGCCGACTTTTATAACAAAATAAATCCAATGCCCAATGAGTTGGTGTCTCCTCCTCCTCCTGCTGCTGCTGCTGTCCTACAACATTGATCGTTTCAATGATCCGTCTTAGTTCCACCAATTGAGCTAAATTGCTGCAGTCCTTCCTTAACAATGAATGCAGGTCGTTTCAATTCAACATCTACTCCCTCTGCCCTTCACTAAATAATCCGGTTGCCCGTTGGCATCGAAGACGTTAGGAAAACAAGCCATCCGGTACGACTTTCTATTTACCGTTCAATAAAACTTGAGGTGCTAAAACTTTGTCAACGCCGTAAGCGGTCTGTAGCTTAAGTGGTTAAAACTAATTCATCTCGTTTCCATTCCTTTCCATTCCTTGTCCCTCTCTAATTCTAAGAAACATCCAGATGAAGAGAAGTCAAAACAGATAACATTTCCCAACTTTGGTAAAGGAAGATTCAAAAATCTTCCAACTTCAAACTGCAAACCTTCGTGACTTTGATTTGGTCACCTACTCTTTTGATTGGTCGCTACCTCCCCCATGTGACTGGTGACTATACTGAACTTCTAGTGCGGCAGCCACCATATAGTACATATGCACATAGCATATGCAGGAGAAAAACTTACATGCCACGTATAATTAGAATGTTAAAATAGTGGATTGCGAGTTGGTTCATGTTTATCAGGAGAAGAATGTTGTGGCAACGATCTTGTCAATTACGGTTATAATATGAATCTTGAGTACCATTATTTTGATAATTCACTTGAATGAACTATAATTCGTTTATTTGATGATATTGTTGGAGTCCGTAGGACTTGAACTGTTCAAAACAAGTTTAGCATGTATTCAAAAAGTGCACTACTCATTCAATAAATGATATAAATGATTGTTTCGTGATGACATGGTGACACAAGACAACTTGTTAGACTTAAAAATCGTCATTTTGTGACGCAACACAAAGCTTAAAGGATTACAAACGTAAATGCTACTTGAACAAAGGTTTCTAGAATCCACCCGTTTATATAGAAATCCAAAAGAATAATTTGATTAACATGAATTGACGATTACAGAATCATCCAACGAGTTAAATAAAGAATTATAACTACTTGGAACAACTCAAAGACTTTGGTAATAAAAACAACACTAATTGAAATTAATCGAATGGCTTTCTAATACTAACAGTATTAGTCAAAAAAATTCAAAGACTTTTTTTTTACTTATCCTACTTTTCACAAGCATGTGTATATTACAAATTATCACAAACCCAACTTATTAAGTTAGAAAAGTTGTCAAAGGTCCGATTTTTATTACGAATATCAAAACTGCGTTTTGGAGGCTAAAACGACTTTGGATAGCCAAATATATATCATTTATCACAACAAAACCATGAATTTGAACTGCAACGTTGTTCCCTTTCCGAAAATATATCATGAGCTCATTTGAACGCCAAATATGCAAATTTCCATTGTGTCCCATTGTCTTTTGACTGTCCATTTCCTCTTAAATTTATTCGGCTATTTGTTCTGCATTATTTGATATATCCGACATAATTATCTGTAAATTTCTCGTCATATTATAATTGTTATCTAGAAGACCCATGATTACAAATGATTGAACTTTGCAACACATCCACGTCTAAACAAGACCAACATCCACGTGTAAACAAATACAAAGAACGTTGTATTCAAAGAAAAGAGTACAAACTACAAAAGTAACGATCTCGAAGATGAAGAACAAAGTCTGTCATCCTCTTCCGATCCCAATATTATAATATTTTTGCCGAGAACAAAATTGGTATAATAATTAAGAAATATTCTAGGAAAACGCGTTTTTTTTTTTGTATTTGGAACAGTTTGATTAATTCGGTTAACCCAATTGTCAATCAATGACAACAAAAAATAATATCATAGTCTATTAAATAATAAGTCAGGCTTTCTCTTATTATATGCTTGTGTATATAACACGAGTGTGACGTTAGAGCATGTTATCTTGTGTGCGGTTCTATTATAAGATTAATTTTAGATTCGAGATGTTGCTGAAATGAAAATTTGAGATTTAAACTCGCATATCAGCATTGTCGTAATCATATTAGTTTTGAATATTATCTGGGGAGCAAAAAAGCTTAGATTTGTCATAATTAACCTCCCAACAGGCTAAAGGGATCAAGACAATCCCTCGTAGTATCAGCTTGATCCATAGAAGCTCCAGAAAAGAGGGTTGAATTTTTCTTGGAGAAGTAAACCTTTCTATATCATGAAGTAAATTGATTAGAGGGAACATCGTATTCCCATTATTTTTCCTCTCAAATTTATGATTTCTTTGATTCATGACAACTAGGTATACATGCAATTAGGTATTAAGAAAGATACGCAAGTGAGCAACTCATTTGCGTGTAAACTTCAAATCCTTCCACTCAGTTAAAATTCATTTCAAGGTGATTTTCTACCTGCCTATTAAAGGTGAGGTATGTTCAATTAACCAAGTAAAGATTTTTTTAATGTGTCCATAACACAAGACGGAACGCCACATATCATTGTATAATTGAAGGAAAATTTTATTTTAATGCCTCTCCAAATGTATAATGACATATAGTGTTTTTACCCTGTGTTTTGGACGCATTACATATGGTAGATGAGACCCACTTGAAATAACACATGATTAAAATCAACGGTCAGGCATTAATCACGCAACATTAAAGCCTCACGCTCAGCTGTCAGATTAACATGTAACTCCCCAACATTCAAACTTACACCAAATAAATACCACCAACATTTCACTTATTTGCATTTCTTTTTCTTTCTTTAATTCACATTTCTCTCCTCCCTCCTCCTCCTTCTCTCCCGCCTGTTTAACAAGTCGTCGGATTTTCTCCACCGTCCGATGCACATACTTTGACTCCTCCCTCCTCCAAAACCCTAACAATTCAACGATGGGACTTTGCTGCAGCAAGAACGTCGCCGTTTCCGAGGCCGACAACAAGCCCGCAGCCGCCCAACAGTCAAAACACTCGCCAGTGGCGCCGGTGCCGCCCAGCTCCAGACCCGGCGATGCTCACTCCGGCAAGCACACTCCGGCCAACTCCTTCTCGGCCAGTCCGTGCCCGAGCCCGCTTCCCGCCGGAATTGCGCCGTCGCCGGCGAGGACACCGGGGAGGAAGTTCAGGTGGCCCTTACCTCCTCCGTCTCCGGCGAAACCGATCATGGAGGCGCTTCGACGGCGGCAGGGGCGTGAGGTGAAGCCAAAGGATGGGCCGATACCGGAGGAGCATCCAGGGGGCGTGGAAGGCGAGGGAGGAGAGAGAGTACTGGACAAGAGCTTTGGGTATGGGAAGAACATTGGGGCAAAGTTTGAGCTGGGGAAGGAGGTGGGTCGAGGGCATTTTGGCCATACTTGCTGGGCCAGGGGGAAGAAAGGAGAGCTCAAAGGACAGCCGGTCGCCGTCAAGATCATAGCCAAAGCGAAGGTGACGATGCTTGTTATTGATGAATTATTTGTTTTAATAATTTAGTTGAATTGTCACTTTCTTGTTTGGTATATGAAGCTTGTTTCTTTGTTTATTTTAAGTAAGTTTGGATGAATTTAAAGGGCAAATTGCATCCATTTGTGTTGAAGCAATTAGTATTTCAAGTAATCAGCTTTTTTACCTTTGCATGAAATTGGTAAAATTTAATTAGTTGGGGAATCTGATCACTGGATTAAGCAATGGTTATGTGAATTATACTTCCCTACAACAAGTCGAATCCGAAGAACTTTCGCCTGTTGATCTCTGTCTTTGAACTCATTAGTCATTACCCTTACTGCTGCATCAGCACGGTATTTGGGTTTGCTGAGTTACTGCATATAAATTTTAATTGAAGTTATATTGGTAATTAAATGAGGGATCTTTTCGCAGATGACAACGGCAATAGCTATTGAAGATGTTCGCAGAGAGGTGAAAATACTGAAAGCATTAGCTGGACATAAGAATCTGGTCAGATTTTACGATGCGTTTGAGGATGACCATAACGTCTACATTGTCATGGAGTATAAACTTTTTTTTCTTTCAATAACCTAATCATGTTATTCATAGAAACTTGAAGCCATTGTTCAACTTTGTATGAATACATCAGTATTTTGGCCGATAAGCCTGTTTTGAAGTTTTCTGATCTTGCTGGCCTTACAGGTTGTGTGAAGGTGGAGAACTACTGGATAAGATTTTGTCGAGGTAGAATGAAATGCTTTATTTTCTTTATTGTACTTGTAATTTGCACTTTCGGATTGTATGAGTTAAAGGATTTATTCTTAATCACTACTTTGTGGCAGGGGTGGAAGATACACAGAAAAGGATGCTAAAACTATTGTTGTGCAAATTTTAAGTGTTGTTTCCTTCTGTCATCTCCAAGGTGTCGTACACCGTGATCTAAAGCCAGAGGTACTACATTCAGAAGAAAGTTTGAACTCACAGTTAGATAATTGTGGATGTTCACATGTATTTTTCAATTCTTCACGTTCTCATTCCAACCAGTAACTAATAACTCTGTTCATTATGAATGCTCGGCAGAATTTTCTTTTCACAACAAGAGATGAGGATGCTCCAATGAAGGTTATTGATTTTGGTCTTTCTGACCTTATTAGGCCTGGTAATGGTTGCTTTCCACACTATACTTTTGCTTCAATATATGATGTGCAACTGCTAATTGTTTCTTGTCATGAAGTTCTTACCTATATGATTATTATTGTTTATTGTGTTGCCAAGCATCGTCAATAACTATTTGTTTCATTGGAAGTATTTTCTTTAACCTTTTTCAAAGAGGGTTTTTTTTTATTTTTTATTTTTTTCCTGATATGTTGGCATATTCGTGTGACAAATGAAACTTCCCTCCTTAGAAATCAATCTAATTATGAGACTTTAGTTATCTGAACATTGCATTGTTTTCACAGAACATTTAGTTTTACATGTGCAGATCAACGTCTCAATGATATTGTTGGAAGTGCATACTATGTTGCACCTGAGGTGTTATATAGATCTTACAGTCTCGAAGCAGATATGTGGAGTGTTGGTGTCATAACATATATATTGCTATGTGGAAGTAGACCTTTCTGGGCACGAACTGAATCAGGAATCTTTCGTTCAGTGCTAAGAGCTGATCCTAATTTTGATGATTCTCCTTGGCCTTCAGTCTCCTCAGAAGCCAAAGATTTTCTTAAAAGGCTTCTGAATAAGGACCACAGGAAAAGAATGACTGCTGCCCAAGCTTTAAGTAAGTTGGTTTTAAATATTTCATACATCCTTAATCATATTTTGCACTAAATAACCCTGCTAGTGGCGTGTACAGTTATTTCCTGTTGAGGTATCCTGATAACTATTTCTTGTGTTCACAGCTCACCCATGGTTACGAGATGAAAAACATGATGTGCCTTTAGATATTTTAATCTACAAGTTGGTTAAATCGTATGTTCGGTCCTCACCCTTCAAGCGTGCAGCACTAAAGGTAACACTCCTTCACAAGAAAACGTGCCCTCCAAATCCCCCAAAATGTGAAGAAAGAATTGGAAAGAAAAAAGAAGAAACAACTTAAAATCGAAGCTAACAAGCTGGGGTGTCGTCAGGCATGAATGGCATAATTTTGGGGCAATGAAATCTTTCATACACACAAACACAAACCCACATTTGTGATTTTAGAAGGCATCCTTTGCAAGTTTGTAACATATTTCGTTGTTCACAGGCTCTCTCCAAGGCTTTAACAGAAGATGAGCTCATCTATCTTAGGGCTCAATTTAGGCTCTTGGATCCAAAAAATGGATACGTGTCCCTTGATAATTTCAGAACGGTTAGTCAGAGTTCTTATTGCTTTAACAATACTTCTTTTGTTACATTTTAGGATCCCATTTTGGACCCGTATTATCTATGTACGTGGTATAATAGGGCAATTCAATATCTCTACTATAGTTAGATGTTTCAAATTATTTTATCTTCATTGTTTTTTCATGACTTTTTCAACTTATCGTGAAGAATATTGCAGGCCCTCATGAAAAATTCAACTGATGCCATGAAGATGTCAAGGGTTTATGACATTATAAATTTGGTAAGCGATCTTGATGCCTTCACGTTCTTTGATTTCAACGGTGGAATGGTCCCAAATTTGTTTGCTAATTTCATGTATAGTAGATTCCTATGCAAAGTTGAAACTTGCGTATTTGCTTTTTGTTTAAAACTTTTATTTTAAATGATATAAAATGCACACTGTTGGATATTCTCTGATAGGTCAGGCGGAATAGCGGTCTTTTTCTGTATGGTTATATTCAATGAAACAAAGAGAACACACCCTTTTTTTCTTAATATTGGAGGATTCTAGAACTTTTGGTCTTGAGTTTGTTCTCTTCTCTGACTTTTTCATTGCTGGCTTGTCTTTTCTATTGACAAACACAGCCTTCATAGAATCAATAGAATTGATAAACAAAACCATTTTTCCAATACAATTTTTCATTTTATTTCTCTAATTTTGGCTTTTGCATGAGGCATATACTCATATTCTAGTTTTTAATTCAAGATGGAACCCCTCTCACACAAGAAATTGGACTTCGAAGAGTTCTGCGTCGCTGCAATAAGTTCATATCAGCTAGAAGCTCATGAAGGATGGGAGAACATTGCAAGTACGGCATTTGAGCATTTCGAAAATGAAGGAAACCGGGTCATCTCTGTTGAGGAGTTAGCACAGGTATGCACATCGAACATCAGTCTTCCGTACAATTGCTTGTGTACTTGTCACTTTCAAAATATCATATGGAACCAAGTATCTGCGTCAGTTTGTCAAATGATTACCAGCAAACTGAAGAAAAATAAAACGTTATGCAGGAAATGAATCTTGGTCCTACATCTTATCAATTACTCAATGACTGGATCCGACCTTCAGACAGAAAACTTACGCTTCTTGGATACACCAAATTTTTGCATGGTGTGACAGTGCGTAGTTCCAATACTAGACGTCCATAAATGTAACCGGGATATATAATGTTCTCTTCAAAAATTTACCAACAGTGTTTCGAATTCTTTTAGAACCTTGCCCGCCCCTTTGGCGAGTGAAGGTGACAATGGAGTGTCAGGTTGTGAGTGAAGAGATATAGGTCCATGTCAATAATTTGAGAGATTTTATGCAGAAGAATTTGTTCAAGACCCTTGAAAACGCATCGACATCTTCCTACCAGTTGCGACTGCTGCGATGGTAGAGGCAATGCTATCGAAGAAAGCTTTTGCATTTACATTTGTATGGGTTATTTTTGTGTTCAAATCCTTTGAAGGTAAGGTTACAGAGTTTTGTAATGACATTCCAATATTAATGTTTACAAGTGTAAGGTTAGAAGAACGCTTTGCATTATAATTTCACTTCTCTAAACTTCATGTTGCGAAACTTTAGAAACTTATAATTGTTTTATCTATGGCCCGTTTACGTTGCATTCGGGCGTCCGATGGAGATACAGTGATCCTTGCTTACTTATCATTGTGCGTTGATGACACATCAAATCACCTCCGAGTAACGACCTAGCTTTAGCTTAATATCGTTTTAGATTTGGATTTGACTTGAAAAATTGAATGCTGCCTGTTAACTACTTGACACTTGCCCTTTTTCATTATTCGGGCTTGAGACTGATTAAATAAGATAAACTAACACATACAGAGTTTTAATTTATAAAAAAAAAAAAATTAAACTTGAGCCATATTTGAAAATCTACAAAAATAACTGTTGAAAAGTTACTAATTAAGTTTTTAATTCAAAACGCGATGATAATTAAATTCCCTCTAATTTTCCTTCAATCCAAAGGTGTCAATATGGTTACCTGTAATTGAATTCCATAAAATATTGGTTAGATTTCTACGTTTGCTTACGATCAAAGTTACGTGTTGGTGGGATGGGTTGCACTTGGTCAGTGGCTGGCCCTTTGATCAAAGTCAAACAAACATACAATAAACCTCTCCTTGGCAAATTGGCGTGGTTCTTGCCTATGATCGGCGGCATGCGGCACTCCTTAGCCGAGATGCAATAGCCACACACCGTCACATATTTACTAATCAGGAGTCGAGATGTTTTCTTAATATCTATGTTTAGAGTTTAAAGACTTAGAGATTCGCACCGTTAAAGAGAGAGAGATCTAAACCATTAGGTTATATAAGATGGGCTAGTAGAATGAGCAAATGAGGACTGCAAGATTCAAAATGAATAGTCCGGATCTTAGAGTCCGTCGGCTCTGGACACAGAAATCCAAAAATGATCTCAGTTCAATCATCAGTGTATATAATTGGACGATAATTGATATACATCAGGTTTGATTATATTATGCAGCCAAATGCAAAAGTCTTTCCAACTTGCCAACAATCACGCTACTCGTTTACTTGGGTAACAATTGACCTTATCAAATAATCTCTACTAACTAATGAAATCCTCTTTGTCAATCAAAAGAGGGTGAAAAGACAACTTAGTCTTCTATTACACAAAAAAAATAATAGGCAATAATGTAATTTCACATGTTCAAATTTTACTGTTTTTTATTGAAACTTCACCTACAGGTGATGTTAAACTACCTCCAATATTTAAAAAAAAAAAAAAAAAAAAAAAAAAAAAAAAAAAAAAAAAAACCTCTCACTCTCCCCACGTTCTCTCTCTTCCTCTCTCCTTCTCATTTTCTAAAAATATGTGTTAATTTGTAGGCAAATGCTAGTATCAAATTAAGAAATGTTGCTCAGGTGACCTTTGAAAGAGGAGCATGTCTACATGCCCAAACTGGACTGTTTCAAAAAACGCTTGACATTTCACATGAGAAATAAACGACCAATCTTCCACATGGGGATGGGGCAGCGGTGGAGTGCAGAAGGTAGACGAAATCAAATGATTGGATCAAAATTTCAAAATATTAATTTGTGCTGGCTTCACACTTTTATTTATAAATGCTAAATGAACAGGTCATATAATTATAAAAATGAAACAACTAATATTCAAGTTGACGTAATATATTCGTTGAGTATGACTCACCATCCTAAGTAACTCTTCAAAGTTAATTTACAATTTCGAAGTATAACTCCTAAGTATGAAGGTTAAGATTAAGAGCTCTGATATAAGTGGAGAAAAATACGGCTAAATCCGTTGTCACGATGAGATCCAAAGTTGTGGAGCAAAATTTCAAATATAATCCAACATATAAAAATCGAAATCTTCAACTAAACCTAATGGGTGTGAGTAAGTCTTTAATGAGAGATTTTTTAGGGTGGTGGAACTACGATCGGTAAACTAAATGTCATCGGACCTTATTTCGAGTACACTGAAAAATTTCTCTAAACGAGATGTCATTATACAAGTGGACGAATACTTGAAGAAAAAAAAATTCCTCTATGTGTATAATAACATCATGCCGCTAGCGTTGCGGGCACATTAAAAATCTCTCCAAAGGCACACACCCTTGATGTTTTGAACCGAGTATTATACGTTTGTGTAATTTCTTATCTCCAACAACCAGCAACCAGCAACCAGCAACTTCCTTCCCACTTTTATATATTCATTTCACATTAACAACAAGAATAAAGAAAAAGATTACGTCTCCAAACGAATATTCCCAAAAATCATACATAAGATGACGATGATGATCCATCGATTTTTTATCATGAAAAATCATCCACTAATCCATAAGACATCATACAAGAAATCCAAACAAATTAATAATATTTGAGGTCCCAACGAATTAGAAAAGAATCCAATGCCTCGCTCACAATTAATAAACTGAAATGAAGAAATCTATATCTACTTAATAATCTTCACAATTAATAAATCAAACCCTAAAACACCAGGCATAATGGTGATGGTGGTGGTTGTGATGGTGATGGTGGTGGTGATGATGATGATGATGGCCGTGGAACGAAGTCTCCCTATCGATCATGCCTTGAACGGTGCGAAACTCCTCCACGTGGCAAGGAATACTGATCGGACCCTTGTGATCGAATCCGTACTCCTTCTCCGCCTCCTTCAGCAGCTGCATGAAGAGCGGGTGGTTGACGTAGACCACCGGAATAACAAACCTCTGCTGGTCCTCCCCCTGGCCCACCATCACCGCCATACAGCCTTTCGGAATATCTTTGAGCTCCTTGCTGTTCTTGTCGTGGTGGTGGTGGAGAAGGTGGGGGAAGTGGAGGTGGAAGTTCAGGTGGTTGTGCTTGCTGGGCCTGTCGGCGGCGATAAATCCCATCTTTTCGAAAACTCGAAAAACCCGAAAATCAGAAAACCCTAGAGAGCAAGAAAACAGTGGAGAAACTTGAAGTTGTTGAGTTAGGGTTATAAGAAGACGAAAGAAAACGGCCACGGATCGGAAGCGGAGATGGTAAGGTTGAACTGGGTTAGGGCGGAGTCGGTTAACGATCTCGGAATATTGCTCATGATATATGATCGGATTCAACAACCAACATAAATATCGATGGAGAAAAAGGAGAAGCTGAGAGAGGTTTTTGGAGAGGGAGGGGTTTGGTGTTTATATAGTAGCTGTCGTAGGAGCAGATAGGGTTTGCTTACCTTATACAGAAAGGAGAGGGTTAGAGGGTGGGAAAAGATATAAAATCAAAGTCGTATACGCTGTAGAAGTCTGGAGGCTTACAACTTGCAGGAAGGTTTTACAAAACGCGCCTGATAATTACTATTTATTTCATTTTATTTCATTTTTTTATGGTAATTACCAGAATTCTGTGTCGGTAAAAAGTCTCTGATATGCAATTAACTAATTTGCGTTCCAAATATTTGGAATATGTAATTAACAATTGCAAATTAGGGCCTTGTTAAGAATTACTTTTAAAATAATTAAAAAATTTAAAGAAAATATTTTTAGGTTCAAAAAATAAATAAATTGTTTATTGCAACAAGCACCAGGTATGTGCTTCTTGCATAAAACAATAAAGTGTTTTTCTAGAATTCACTTGTCATTTTATTATTTTACTAAAAATTGGTTTCAGAAGCATTTTCAATAAAAACGCTTTCAGCTAGTTTAAAAACATTTTCGAACGAGTCCTAGTTTTCTGGCAACCCCCCTCCCTTTTAAACTTATTTTCAAAAAAAAAATTGCAAATTGGTTTCTTTCATTCCAAAAACTAATAAGGTATGTAATTATTGATCCAATCAAAACAAATAAGGTAGAATTAATTAATTAATACGTTAGCAAAATAGTATTGATAAGGGATAATTTTATAACGTTTAGAAGGAATGTTTATGAAATTAATTAATTATGGAAATGATGAATAATTTTTATACTTGAGTTTGAATTTACATTTAAAAATACAATCAAAGTCAACTCACAAGTTTATTAATAAAACAAATTCAATAAAGCAACCATTGGTACCATAGAAATCCAGCTATAAACGGGGGAAGAGGATCCTCTCTTGACCACGAAATCCAGACCGTTCAAAATTAATCCAACGATTTCAAACAGAGAATCCTTTAAAAGTTATAATAATTGTAACAGTTGAATTAAATTTGAACAATCCGAATTTCATGATCAGAAGGATTCTCATCTTGAGCTCAGGAGAGGATCCTCTTCCATAAACGGGATAGTCTTAACACACATTTTATTTTATTTTATTTTTTGGGTGTCAATTCACACATTTGAGATTCCACGTCAACAAATAAAGCAAGGGAATTCGCCTCTCATAAAAAGTAAAAATAGAGGAAAGAATTGAAATCTTGCAAAGCAGCTTTAGCCATCAAATCCACATGGACAACAAGTGGCCGACGCTTCTCGTCCTCGTCAGCAGTTTTATGGGGTCCATATGATTGGAAAATGCGACCCGACAATGAGGTGTCACGCGCTTCACACACCATATGAAGCCGTCCAGTAACATGCTTCGAACATGTCCAAGTCCAACTGGATTGGACCAATACTATAGATGAGGGAGCATCACGTCATCATCTTAATTTTATTTAATTTTTCGGTTTAAATATTTGTTTCTTCACCTGCTAGGAACTTTAACGAAAAATTTATAGTACTGTTTATTTTAACGAAAAATCATAGTTTTCAAACATTTTTCATTAATTTTCCTTCGCTATTACTTGTGCTGCAGTTCTTTGGAAATAATTATCAACTAACATTTTGTTTATCTTAATAAAATATTGTTAATTACCTATTATTTTTACTATAAAACAATGATTAAGTACAATTGCTGGTATACTAGGAGCGCTTAAAAAGTCGTGGCATTTTGGATAGCATGCGGGAAATCTTTGAATATGGCAACCAGATCACATCAACTGTCCCCTGTATTCTCTTCCAATTTTTCAATTTTGCTACCTACAACTTTATTTGAATTTAATCGAGACTATCTTAAAATATTATTGTAGTAAATTGTTTGCGATATAGAATTTCTTCTCCTTGCTCTTTACGAGATGCCGCATGCAAATTGCTCATAATCTGCAGCCCTAGGGCCACTTTGTTTTGGTATGCGTTAAGTAGTACAAAGTCGGATAGATGACATGATCTGGTTGCTAAATTCAAAGGTTTCAAGCATGCTACCCAAAATGTCCTTGACTTTTTACGTGCTTCTACTAAACCCCACTTGGGAGCCATGCCTTGCTCAGCTCAAATTTAGGGCCGGATTCTGTGGCAGATATTACTGCAAAATCCTTGTGACGTAACAGGTATCATGCATGCCCATTTTCTACCGTGTTACATTGCTCACAGAGATGCATGTGCTCCTCATATCTTGGTCCTCTTAAGTGCAAAGTTTAGTTTAATCACTTGAATTTAGGATTAATCAACCAAATCCTGCGGTTGATTGATGCACAAGTTTTGTGATGGGCATTCCTAGACCATTTGATCAAGAGATCTGGAGATGCATGGGATTCTAAATTCTAGGAAGATCTTTCCAGATATAGCCGTTTGATCATGACCCACAAAAATGGGAACGGTTTAGCTGTTTTTTTAAGTCAAAAGACTCAACCAAAAGGGGAGGTGATTACTGATTATGTCGAGCATCTAATTTCCATTTTTGTTCCCTCCTTTTTCTTTTGATTTTTCTTTGGCTCTCCAACTTTCCACACAAACATTTATCCTAATCCCTCCAATAATATGGCAAGTTTAATATTCAACAAGTCGAGAACTTTTTTAGTGAGTCCAGAGCACGATCACATACACCATATGTTATATACAAGTGGAGGGACACTTGATGGGGAAAAAAAAAACTTTCCTTCCACTTGTATAATAACATATGTCTTATCGTAGTGGCAAAGCCACTTGAGGACCAGGAGAGGTCATGGCCTACCCTGGAATTTTTCATTTTGTACTTTTTGTTTATGTGCTTTTAGTTGGATATTCTGCATTCTTCGACTTATGTGTGTTTGCTTCCAGCTAACTTTATTGTGTTTTTCTAATTGATAAAATAAATATGTTTTCCAATAGTATAGTTATCAAACCAAAGGCATATATCAACTAGCCTTCCTTTAGTTAGTTCACTATTTTGCATGATAGAGTATTGTTTTACAGTGAAACCACGTATATATGGAATAGAGGAAGAATTCATCTTCAAAGATAATTTTCAAATTTGTAGTTTTGAGCCATGATTATGAATTTTTGTTCAACTTCATTATAGGAACTTATAAAGAAGTTCAGTACTTACGATATAATTATCTCAAATAAATAAAAAAAATTGTGACTTTATTACTCTCTTTTTTATTAAAATTATTCACTTTACTACAAAAAAATGAACCTTTTTCTCCCATTAGTTATATTATTTTTTTCTTTCAATTTCTTTCTTATGGCTTAGTGGCCCCTCCTAGCTTCGATTTCTGGCTTTGCCACTGTGTTATGGTATGTATTCTGGGTATATTGAAAAATCTCTCAAGCAAATAATACCCCTTGTTCATTAATTCTATTTTATGACTGAGTTTACATTTTCTTATTTTGACCAAAAGAGGAGATGGATTCTCGAACTTACGACATCTTACAACATCAACAAGAAAAATACTGTTGAACAAATGGTTGGTTAGTCAATTTACAATTCCTAAATATATGTAGTTTGTGGAGAAAATAATCGCATCTTAGTGTTAATTGTCTTATTGGAATTTTAGGAATGAGAGGTAAATGAAACTTCTTCGTGGCTACGATCAATTTTAATTCATTTCCTTTTCCACCAACGAGTACGTTTCAAAATTTAGTGCTGTCTACCTTTGATTATAACAGCCAACCAATTTGGTTTTCGACTTTTTGTTCTTTAAGTGGGTGGTCCTTTGAAGTTACGCCGATGTGACCTAATTAAATGTTTGTTAGCTGAGAAGATGTAGGTTCGAATTTTCTCATGTGGCAACAAAATGTTGATTAACTGATATAATAGTTTGACATCCAAAATAAAATAGTGAACTGCCATGACTTCACCAGCTGATTCATTTAAAAAAAAAAAATTTATGTGGTATCAAAGTGTTGATTAATTGATTTATAACAAAAGACCTTGTATTATTGTTGTACAACACATTCTAATTGTAACTCAACATTTTTTTCTGGAGTCTCCTTCTCTCTTACTTTCTTTTTTAAAAATGTCAACACAAAATGTTGATCTGACTTAATCATGACCGTTCAAATAGGAAGGGAAGAAAGGGAAGAAGAATTTGAAGGGAAGGTAATCGTACTCAGTTTTTTGCTTTTGCTGTGTGGTCTAAATCTGCACTTCAAGTTGAACATTAAACTCAATGTCTGACCATGATTTTCAGATTTGGTTCCAACACTATACAAAACCAAAATTGTCCCGGAAAAATAACATAAAACAAAAAGTATAATTTAGATTAAAAATATGAACATGGATCAAATGAAATTGTGCAATTTGCTGGTCACGAGACTCACGACGGTGGTTAAGATTTGGGTTTAGCAGTAAAAGACAGACATGGGGAAGTCCAATCTAAGCGCATAACCAGGCCACCAGTCTAATGAAGAGCATTTCTATGGACTTGAACTGGAATTCATGATATATGGAAAGCAATTAAGTACAAGACTATTATAATTACACAGCAAAAAAAAATTTCGTTACAAGTAAAACATCTCTGGTTCATTAGAAAAAAAAATTCTCAGCCCCGTATTACATCATATGTTTGATTTCTAACGCTCTTGAATACATGATGGTGGCTAGGTGAGGGATGAAATGCTTCGTCATGGCAGTCTATCCTTTTTGGAGGCTGGGAAGGCTTATAGAGGTATTTCAGACTCTCCGTTCACCACTGTGTGATTCACTAGCGCTAAAAATCATCAAATGAACTATTTAAATCCTTCCATCCAATCATCCCCATAACATAAACATGCAGTTGCTTGAATATATATTTTACATATGTAATAAACAAAATGTGTATAGTAGAACATTGGCATAGGAACAATAGACACTTGAAGACTTGAGAAGTAATGTGTGACAAGACATGATTTTTTTTCTCATTTTTCATCATCACAATTTGTAATTAATTTAGCCAAAATTAAAGA